CAATTGTCACAGAGATAGGTGGGAGTTTTAGAATAACGGAGACGGGCCACCTTAACCGCTGCTGGCACTGCTCCATAACTTCGCTGTTTCTAGCGGCTTCGTTTGCTCGTTTGACAAAATTAGTGGTAAAAACGTCAGTGCAACCGAAATGTTCTGCACATATGGACCGGGAGAGGGAATTTCAGGCGGCCTTCCCTGCCGCTGAAGCTCAATAAACTCAACAACATTTATAAAACAAAACCGAAAGAGAAGGCGGGAGGGCTGTGGCCTTTCTCCCGTCTGCCTGGAGAAGGAAAAAAACGTCTCGTTCCTCCCTTCTTCTCGTATCCGCTCGGGGGCGCGTTTCCTCCCTGGAGAAGGGAGGAAAACGCGCCGTTGCTACCATTTTCCTCCATTATTTTTTAGATTGTGTAAGTGTGTATTGTTGAAAGAAAGGCGGTAATATCTGTGTTTTCTACTTCCTTTGCGAGTCACCATTTTGTGCGCAAAACGGCTGTCGAGCCTTCACCAAAAGACATAACATTATTGTTAATATGTATATTTTTCGATTTGAGCCACTTCAGCTTTGCATGAAAGTGTGCGTCCCATATTCGCAACGTCTCGTTTTTAACTTCTAAAATGCCGGTTCCTGATGTTCGGACACACCAGAAGTTTAGGAAGATGGGAAGAGTTAGGAATGTCCAATGTGTGTGTCAAGCATGATAGTTCCGTGTTCAATTTTAGGCGGTTAGATAAAAACCGCGAAATAACGCTAATTGAAAAGCAATATTATTTAGTTTTGGCACAAACTAATTGTGAGCCGAAAACAGGATTGTCATAACGGCGAGGTAGTGCTTTAAAGCATTTGTCAGTCAATGTCGCCAACTACCTCGTTCCATCACTAGAAAAATCAAATGAAAATCACGTTATCCCGAAAGTGTTGCATCATTTGTCTTGCGCAGTGGAGTGCGTCATTTTTGCGTCCATTTCTGGTCGATGTTCTGTTCTTGAGGCAGAAAATATTCGAAAAAACACTCACGGCTGACTAACACAGAGTTACCATGTCGCCTACTCCGCACCTCTCCGCAACCGCTGGTAGTTCTACACTACGATGGTAACCGCACGACCGCACGGCGTCCGCTTGCAATGAATGGGCCCCTCCCCGTCGCGTTCTCGAGCGTGCGCATACGTTTGTCGATTTTTGCCGAGCTTTCCTTCAAAAGTTCGGCATGTACCTACCTTTGCCGAACCTGAAGTTCAGCAGATTCGGTGCATCATTAATTAAAATGAACATAATCTTTTGGCAATGTACCTTTGGTTGCAAAATAAATGCGGACGATCGAAAAACTTGAAGTAACAAAAATAAAAGAAAACGTGGTTGCATAACGACGGCGCTCTTGCTGCCGATAGATTTCGCCTGCGTGTCGCCAGCTTTGTATAAAGCTTTGTGCAGCGAAGCTGTTTATGGCTAGGGTTCCGTAGACTTTTTAGAGCGCAGCTCTTAGGGGCCCGTTCCCGGCTTGAGCGGCGTCGCCGTCGGCGTCGCCGTCGGCGTCGGCGTAACCGCAACCCTCGTAACCCTCGTGAGGGTTACGAGGGTTAATCTCATGAGGGTTACCCTCACGAGGGCCACGAGGGTTACTTACCCTCGTAACCCTCACGAGGGTTACGAGGGTTAGTTACCCTCAAAAGGGTTACCTTCACGAGGGTTACCCTCACGAGGGTTACTTACCCTTGTAACCCTCACGAGGGTTACGAGGGTTAGTAACCCTCGTGAGGGTAACGAGGGTGAGTAACCCTCGTGAGGGTAACTCTCATAACCCTCGTAAGGGTAACTCTCATAACCCTCGTGACCCTCGTGAGGGTAACTAACCCTCGTAACCCTCACGAGGGTTAGTTACCCTCACGAGGGTCACGAGGGTTATGAGAGTTACCCTTACGAGGGTCACGAGAGTTACCCTCACGAGGGTCACGAGAGTTGCCCTCACAAGGGTTACTAGGGTTACCCTCACGAGGGTCACGATGGTTACCCAGGTCGTGACCCCCCCTGGGGTCACGTGACCTGGGGATACCCCCCCAGGTCACGTGACCCCCCGTTGACGTCATAGGCACTGATGACGTCGTCAGTGACGTCACTGATTACGTCACCGGCATCCGCATCGTCATCATCACTGATGACGTCATTAGTGACGTCACTGATGACGTCACCGGCATCCGCATCATCATCACTGATGGCGTCATCAGTGACGCTACTGATGACGTCATCGGTATCGTCACGTGGCCCCAGGTCACGTGACCCCCCGACGTCACGTGACGCCCCAAGGTCACGTGACTCCCACAAGGTCACGTGACCCCCAAGGTCACGTGACCCCCCGCCCCCCGAGGTCACTTGACCCACCCCCCAGTACCCTTCCCTCCTCCTCCTCAAGAGCTGCGCTCTAATTCGGCGTTACAGGGAGTTGTAAACGGCTTTCATTTTTTGTATACACTCGCACCGCCGCACGCGCACGCCTTCCCCGTATAAACGATTCAAAATAGGCAAAATAAAGGCGTTAACGAACGCGCGTGCAAGGTGCCCAACTTGTTTTAGGCTTTTGCATTAGAACAATTAGTTACTGCTGCAGACGTCGGCACGTGGAACACCATTCCCTGCATTCTCCTTGATGCTTAGATAAATTTAGCAATATAGGTCTATTCAGTAAGTAAATTAGTTATCAGTAGGCACCATTTTCAAGATCAGTACTCTCGGGTAGATAATGAAGGTTTATAAAGATCTGCCGCTGTGCGACCCGCGTCGGCCATGTCCACGCTTGCACCGCCCTCTTTGTCGGCGTTCCCAGCGCTTGCGTGCCTATACCCGTTTTCACCTCAAGAACCATAATAAAAAAACTCCGGCTTCTCGCGGATTATTACTGATTTTCCTCTTTATGTAGAGAATTAAGATATATGTAGGTGAATTATAGATTAGATATACGGTATTTTATCAAAACGTACACGTTCCAAACGCCAAAAGTATAGCTTTTTCCTCTGACAACAAAATCTCGTGAGAACTACTTCGCGCCGCGTATGAATAATGGGCGAAACTTGCTTTTTTTCTTGAGGTGAAAACGGGTAGTTTCCTTTCCTTCCGCTCTCCCGGGGTGGCGGTCCCGTCGCGCGTGTCGTTTCCTCCGGCTTCTCGGGGCGGCAGTCTGTGTCGTGTGCTAAACAACTTCACTTCGATACCCGGACCAGGCGGATTTTTTCGGCCGCGCACCAGTCACCTAGCTCTGTTTGGAGATTTGTGTCTGTCCCTCTTGTTCCCCTTCTCCAGGGATTATTTTCGTCATTCTTGTCCAGCTCGCTTGCACCTTTGCATTTAATTGCATTATAATCATTTCACTGGTCCCCCACCTTCACAGAATAGAAATGGCTCACGATTTTATTTCGCTGCTCGCGAGGTAGCGCCATCTAGTAATACGTGCGCCAAACGCACCCCACCACTCGACTCGGTTGTCTGGATCGACCCTGGCAAGTTTTTTCGCCTCATTTTGTACAGAAAGTGAGCTACGCCTTGCAATTTTACGAGGTAAAACCCACCTGTGAAATACCACTTCGACAAAGTTTGCTTGCTACATGCAGGCGCCGATTTTTACGACTCAATTTAGATTTACCCTGCTCACTGACTGATTTCAAAGATCAATGATTGGCACTTCAAGAGCATTGTATAGCAGAATCACAAAATTACTGTGTACGCTTGTCTGTACTAATTTCCCAAAAGCTCCCCCTTCTCTTCGACCGATGCTCCAGGCTTTTTGGACTTTGGGGTCCAACCAAGACTTTTTGGACAATGGATACCAACTGTCCTTACCATTAGTTGTTTTAACACCCCCCAACCTCTTTCGAATGCCATATACAAAACGGGAGAAAACAAAGACAATCAGCTGCGGAAACGCATCAAGCACATTTGCTTAATAATACGCAAGTGCGCTTTGAACACGTCTGCTGACAGTTTTTGCATGAAGAATGCAACACGACCAAGTGAACAGGACTCTCGTACAAGAAACATGCCTCAGTGCCTGCAGACCGTATTTTGAACGACTTAATAGCAGTGTGACCGCAGCTTTATGCTCTGCACGTGCCTGAAAATGCGTTCAAACTTTCAGGATGCGTTCAGCGGCTGTGGTCCCGTGGCTGATCAGCGTGCTTCTGGGCAGCACCCTGCGATCGTGGGCTCAATACCCCGACGTTCAGGCAGGGCATCCAGGAATGCACATGGGCATGCCAAACAGGATACTCCGCTGGGGCTACCTTGCATGGGGATCCGAAATGATGAACTGCAACGGCTGGCTTGCCCAGCGCTACAAGAGAAGAAACCGGATCGCAGACTTCCCAACCTGCGGCTATGGTGGCAGAGGCTTGTTCAACATGATGCCTACCATGACCGCTAATGACATGATTTATGGATCCTAAGGGAGTGATTAATAGTCGCAGCATTCCAGTAGCAAGCAGGAGTGTCGCAATGTGACCTGGACGCATTGTCGAATAGTTTGGCTCAATTCTCTTCGCTTTTCAGTATTAGCAATGGCACAATAAAGGAGAAAAAAAAAATAGGTCTCTTGTGGTGTTGTCAACACTGTTTTTGCAACATCCTCCCCATATCATTGTAAGTTAAGTTTCCTTGTTCAGCCTGCCTTTAATGTTTGCATTGGTAGCTCAGTGACGGAGGGCAACGGTTCCTTCGGTGAGCTTTCCCTTTCGAAGCCAATGTATAATAACGACGAGTGAAAAAATTATCCCGAATTAGCATAAAACAAGGTAGACGTGGCTACCCGCTATTGTCTGGAGTTTACTTCTGCAGCTTTCAAGGCAAATAAGGAGACTGAAAGTGAGATTGTTCGTACATGTGAAGTTGTGCAATGGACAGCGTTTGTAACTAACCAATGCTAAAAAGCAAATGGAAACCACTGGTAGTCGAATGTTCACTCAGCCACACAATGTCAATCTTTGCACCGAAAAAATGGCAAACACACAAAGAACTCTTTAAGTTTCCACATGTAATTCGTTACATGTTGTTGTTTAATAGTATATTATTTTGTATACAACAAAAACTCACAGTGCATTGCCACAAATCAAGAACACTTTTTATCATTTTTTTTCCTCTCCATATACTACACATTCTCTTCTCAACGATAAGATAGTATAATACAACACTTTTAGGTTAAAGACTAATAGAGCCCCTTCTTCGTGCTGGCCGAAGTTAACTCAAAAACCTTCGGGGATGGGGGGTGGGGGGGGGCAAAGAGCCACTTTCAAACATCGCTGTACAACATGGAGAAAACAGGAACCCTTTTTTATACACAGAAGCGAAAAAAAATCTAAAAGAAGTCCCGTGAACAAGGAACGGGAAGAGAGCAGCAGCAACAGAGAAGCGCACTTGCCAATGTCTCAAGCAGGACCAACAACAACCGAAAAACAGAACTCGAAAAGCGGGCCTTCCTGAAGAAACTCCTCGGAACTCTACAAACCTTGGGGCGTGGGGAGAGGGCACGAGAATGCAACCACAGTCTCCCACCACAATTACAAAAATATCAGAAACATCCTCTCTCGTATGATGCACATTTTTTTCTTTTCTTCTTCTTTATCTAAAACTTTACAGCGCACAAATAGCATCTTTTTTTTCATCTCATCTTTTTCCAAGACAAAACAGAGGTTGTGTAATATATAGTATCTCCCGTATATATATATATGTATATATATATATAGTATATTTATAATGCAGTAGCAGAATAGTAACAGTTGTTAAGGCCCTAGAAGATGTCGGAGAAAGGTGGAAAGAACTCGCTGGCAATGAACTGTCTTTTTTTGTCGGGGCGCTTGAGCTGCTGAAAGATGGGCAGGCGTAATGGACTGTCGTGTGCCAAAAGGGTTTTCAACGCTCATAAAAGTTTGCAACCTGCCCCACAGCGCAGAAGAAAAGAGCACCTGTTGCATTGTTTTGGAGATCCAACTTTTTTTTTCCTTTGTACCCCATCTTCTCCCCCTCCACCTCAAGGAAAAAGACGCAACAGAAGAACACCGCTTGTACTCTCTCGTCACAGCTTGACTAAGGTTTTGTTTTCTTTATCTCACAAGTGCCTTGTCTCAACATATACATATATAAATGACTATGTTATCTAATATATATATATATTTATATATATTTACTAGAAAAGAAAACAATCACGGGAAACTGCCACTCTCGCGTTTAACAGATCTGGAGCATCTGGTTCCTCTAGGCCTCCCCTTTTTAGTCTATGGCAGGCTACATCATAAAAACACCCCCAGGCTTTCGCACTGTGGTGTTGGCGGCTATGACAAAGGCACGACAAGTTATCTGCTCTTAAGTGTGACAGCTCTCTTTTTTTTCTTCTTAAGTTTAACCGAGAAAATATCAGGCACAGAAACTTTGCAGTTTCCAGTGGCTGCTGTTGTAGTATTCATTGCAGCTTATTCTTTTGCATCTCCGTTGAGCCCCCAACTTTTTAAGTCTAGCAAGGTTCGCTAGCGACCACTGCACAGAAACAGGGGACCCAAAGCAATCACGTCTTCAGTACTACCGCTCCCGCGAGACGTCAGCACATTCTGGGGGAGACAAGCTCACCCACTCCCCTGCACGTATCTCTTGCACCACACACAACAACCACTGCACAATCCACAGAACAAGCCAAAGGGCCCAATGCCAACAAATGTTAAAAAAAAAACAAAAAAACACTAAGCAACCTTAAAGCACTTCTTAGGGAAAGTAGCGCCAATCCCCCCCACGAGACAAAATTAACAGTGCAACGTCAGTTTGTTTTTCTGCCGTGACCGAACCAGGACATCCCCAAGGTTATTTGTACGCACGCAAGAGATAACAAACATAGAACACACCCAGCAAGAAAACGTTTCCTAAACAATTCCAAACCATGCCAACACAAAGTGAGGTAGACAGTAATCCCTAACAAAAGGGTCAAATCAAGTAGGTCTAAGGCCATTTAGTAGTATAGTAGATGTAAAAAAAAAAAAAAACTGATAGTAAAACTTTCAACAAGACTCCTAGCAACCCTAGTGAACTGAACCCAGTTTGCCAGCACCCTCAAACTTCACAGAACCATCACAGACTTCCTTTTTTCCTCTTCTCCCGTCTTAAAGCTCTCCACTCTCGATTGAGTATCTGCTGCGTGTCAAGCAAGTCACTCTCCCTTTGAACATTCTCTCCACTCTTCCCTAGTTTGTCGTGTCACTATCTTCGCCCGTATCGTACACTGGGAAAGGCCTGCCAAAAGAGCGTCTCTGATAGAAGCAGCAAGTCTACAGCTCGGTTCGGTAGTATTTCAAAAGGCAACAGCTTTGGCAAGAGAAGAAGAAAATAAAGACCGATGGACTCTCTTATTTACTCGTAAAAGACACATCAACAACAGTAGCGGAGCTACCGACCTTTTTCCAGCCTCTGAAGTCTCGCGCAAAAAAGGAGAACAAAAAAACAAAAAGTATGGACAATCAAAAAAAAAAAAAAAAAAAGGAGAAGAGAACGGCTCCAAGTGGATTCGAGGCCAAAATCGTTCTTGCCAAAAGAAGGGAGCAGAGAAAAGAACGGCTTCCCAGCAGTAAGAAGCCAAAAACGAGTAACACAGATTCCATGTCAAGCGAAAACCTATCGGCAAACCTGCCCCCCGAAACTAAAATATCTCTTCCTTACATTTTCCTCTTCCATGCACAAGACTGTACATAATAGGTTAAAAAAAAAAAAAGAGAACAAGTCGACCTAACTACATTTAACGAGACTTCCGCTGGCATCGCCGGCGCGGCTTTACACATATGTACAAAGCAACAAGACACAGAGATCGCCCCTTTTAAAAAAAAACGGCGAGGGCAAAAAAAAAAAAAAGAAAAACAGCTGCAGTGAACGGCAGCAACGACCAACAAACAAGCGTCGTCCTGCAACCGCTTGTCCCCACAAGTTCGCTTTGGATTCGTCGCCCCCACTTGGACGATCGGGAAACAGTCTCTCCTATGTACAGAATAAGCGATGCCGCTGCAGACCTCCCGTGGCCCCCCCCCAAAACGAGGACCGTCGCTTCCCACGGTGGTCGAGCTGAAAGGGGAGGGAGGGGGGGGAGAAGGAAAAGACGTGGTAGTGGTAGTTACATTCACCCCCTCTTCAAAGACACCGACGGAAAAAAAAAAAAAAAAAGGGTCCGCAGTTTTAAGTAGCGCGCGACGCACGACGATGCTCACTCGCGGCTGCGGCGACCAGAACAACAACACACGTTCGCACCGCACATTTTTTTTTTTTTCCCTTTTTCGATCGGAGGGGGTGAGTGGGTGGTGGGAAGGGTTCGGAAGTGGAGAGAAGGAGCACCGGGGGGAGGGGAGGGATGGATCACAGTCTGCGAGAAACCACCAAGCAATTCGCTCATTGCGCATCTCTTTTTTTTTTTTTCGACTTCTTCGCTGGCACTCCCCTCCGCTGTTCTGTCCTCCTACTAGGTGGGTTCCGAGAGCAGCTGCTGAAGTAAACTCTTGCGCTGGTCACTTGGCTTGGCGGCGTCGTCCATCTGCAATGGGAAAACGGTTTGCCGCGGGTCAGAGCCCTTCGTTTGCGACGGACGGCCCTTCAATACCGCCTGCACCACCAGAACGGCTACTTTAGCCATTGACAAGATGAAAATGGCACGGAGCATCTTTCAGTCCCCCGGCTTTTACCACGTGCTCCTCGCCTTCCGTGGCGCTTCGGCTGCGCGTGAACCCTAAAGGTGCACGAGACGCCGAAGCATGGTCAAAGGTAGGATGGGTGGGACAAGTGAAGTTCCTGCCTTTTGTTCTCACCAACTATAATGCAGGAAGGTAGTTTAACGAGATTTGTGGTTAGGCTATACTCCGTTACACAATAACTTGGCGCCGTTTGGACGACAAAGAAGTTTTGTCAGCGCTGCCCCATGATCACGACCCTCGTAACTTTGGTACGCAGCAGTGGCGAGTTCGGCCATCATTGCTGACCGCGCAATTCCTCCACGTCCCCATAACACGACAGGTATGCTAGGTGAACAAGCAAGACGTGTCCCAACTTCTGGTAATAACATTAAGAACGACGCAAAGAATATTTAGAAAGTAAATGCTGACCCCACTTCACGTAGCACACTCGACGACAGGTAATGGCAGGTGCACTAAGGATGTTTCTGAGATTGTCTGTTCTTGGTGATTATTTATCTTACGGCCTCCAAGCATCCTAGAAACCTAAAGATAATGCTTGTGCGACGTCTATTTCCCTACTGAAAAAGTGATTAAATTCGTGCCACACCCCTTCTTGTGTGGAAAAATCTGGAGCACAGAATACAGCGGAAGCGCAGGTGGCGTGACGACGGGCGCGCGTCAGCCAGTCGCAAGCTGCCTCTCTCGGAAAGGCAGCTGCGATTGGCTGCCACGTGCCCATCGTCCCGCCGATTTTTTTGCTTAAAAAGGAGCGTGGCACAAACTTTGATCACATTTTTAGTAGGGAAATAGGCGTCGCACAAGCATTCTTTTTCAATTTCTGGAATCCCATAGAATGAGTCATCACCAAGAACAGACGATCTCAGAAACATCTTTAGTGCACCTTTAGAACTGCGCCGCATTACAATTTTTACGCCTTTGAAAATTTTGCGCCGCAGAGGTATCAATGGCGATACTGCACCACTATGTCTAACGCAGAACTGCTTTGGAGTACTATGAAACCTGGTGAGCATTCCAGATGGTAAGCAATAAAAAACAAATGCTCGTGTTTCGGTAAAAGTATGGCATATCTTTAGCTCGATTGGACACACTGAATTAGGGCAAGTCCTCAAGGTGGAAAAAATGTATGCGAGAATAAATTAGTTTCCAACCAAAATGGAGCGCATCTTGCTCCGTCTAGCAACTGGCGGTTGCTACACAAATCTGCCCAGACCAGGAATTGATTTCAGAGCCTCTCCAAGACTAGCTGTCAGAAGAGCAGCCCAACCAGGAGCTAGCCGTCAGTAGAGCAAACAAATACTAACAGGTGCCACCAGTCCCGATCGTAACCATGGTTAAAGCGACCATGAAACGATTTTGAAATTGAATTTCATCCACAGCACGTCGTAAAAGGTGTGAAAAGAAACACAAAAATAGGGAGCTAAAAAAAATTCTTGCTATAGAACTTTTACAAAAAAACCGGACTCTTTTGGACCTTCTTTCCTTCGTAAGCACAGCGATGCATCCGCGGAGCAGCACCACGTCAGCCAAATTGATGTCGCCTATTGGGTAAGAGCCTACCTGACTAGCACCGCAATCAGAAACAATAAATAGCTGGCGAATGTTTCCTAAAAGTTTTGTTAAATAATATTCAGATCCACATTTTGTAGCATAATTTCGAGATGTGACGAAAATTGCGAATTTGATAATGCTCAGAGCCAAGCGCCATCTATCGTGTGGTAAACGAAGCAAAAGAAAGACCCTACTGCGCTTGCGCAGTCAGTCCCCGAGCGTCGTCTGCTGAACGGGCTTGCTCCTGGTCGCGCTTTCTTCGCAAAGCATCGTTTTCTGGCTGCTTTCGAGTAGTGTTTACGTTGTTAGCGATTGATCGTTCGGTGACTATGCTGAAAGGCAGCACTGTACCGAAGTGCCCAAATTACAGTTTCTGCAGTCCGGTGATTAAAAAGAAACAGTTGCAGTTTCACTGCTTGCCACTCGATGAACCACATTGTCACAGAATTCGACTATTTTTCTCTATTTTGGAGTTTTCGTGACGGAGCGCATCCAGTTGTCTGTCGCCCCTTGCCCCGCGGGTTGAACGGGAGAGCTGAGGCCATCGGCTTGTGCTGTTTCGCGGCCCTCGCTAATTAGGAACCGCAGGAGAGGTACCCTCTCGAGGAGGGTGCGGCGGAATGTTCTGTCTCTAACTCGGGCGCGGTTTTTTCTTTTTTTTTGTTCTTGTCTCGACAAGGAAAGAAATGGGAAAGTGAGGACCTCGGCTTGGTTTCGAGCCAAGTCAAGTCAGTGTATGCCGAGAATGGACAGGTGGGGGGACACGACGCGAAAGTTGGGAGCGACAGCGGGTGCGGCGGAAGGCGGAACGCGGGAAGAGCTCGGAGCGGCTCTGCAGGCCCCCAAGTGTGTGTGCTCGTGGATGAGTGTGGTGCCGAGGAGCATCGCACGGAGCGTCCAAGCACACGCAGACTTCCCCGTTTCGACCAGCGTCGCAACGGGCCCGCCTCACCCAGACCATATCTAATTGAATTTCGCTCAACTGCAATGCATCCATGGCTATCGCGGCGATGAGAGGCGCAGATTCAGAAAATATGTCGGTGACGTCAGCGCAGTAAAACCTACCGGCACATCCCCAACTCGCCGCCGCCATTCTCCTACTGCCGAAAGAACTTCCGGTTCCTGTGCCAGAGTACGTCACGACCGTCAAAATTACGCCGCAGCTTGTTTTGCGGTCAGTTAGAAAGAAAGTCGACATTTCAATAATTTTTTTTGTGTAGAAGTTAATACACCAAAATGAAAACGGATGGCTGTTCGGCATTCAGTGAACATTGAAGGTTTAGGGGGCACGCGGGCCTTGAAAACTGAAAAATTGCGAAAAAGTAGATTTTTTGAAAACCTATGTTTTGGGTTGTATATCTCCTAATCTACCTTCTCTGTAATTATCACCACTAAATTCACCGCGAAAATATTAAAAATAAAATATTTTTGGGGCCTGGGTAGCTTTTAAGTGGCAATCAAGCGCCAAAATCAACCGAAAGTTTGCGCCATCGGCGCTCCCGTTCTATTCGGCTGACGGCCGCCATTTCTGTCTTGTTTTGAACGCGAGATCTTTCTCTTCCTTCTCCTGATGTTCAAAATGGCATCAGCCTCTCGTTTCCGCGCGGTTGGTGTTTTGCCATGTCGCAATTGCACAGCCGTGATTGGACAAAGCGGGCACTCCCGAAGCGCACGGGGGAGCACGCGGTTACTATTGGCTGCGGCGCGCGTCCTCCACTCCGTTTTCTCCCATTGCTGCCGGCCGCGTCGTCTGCTATGGCAGTGGTCTCCTTGCTTGCCCCCGCGCATTGTTAGCTCCGCTTCGCTTTTCGCCTTCTTTACGGTCGTTCCCGCTGAACTTCGAGCAGTTTCTTGTTGCTTGCCCATGTATTTCGTAACTGCGCTCCATGAAGCTGGTCAGGAAGGCGAAGTTGAAAGTTTCTGCACAGCGTGCCGCCAATGCTCATCAGGTCGATGCTTCCGGTAATGGATCTTCCGTGCCATCGGCTGTCGCCGCCGAGGAAGAAACCGTCGCTGCATAAATGCGTGGCGTCCCAAGCACATAGACCGCTGCAGTTTCTTCCAAGATTGCAAGTTCTCGCGCTCGGCTGGCGTTTACCGCGAGTCGGAGTGAATCGTTCAGTGCCCACCTCGCGACGGATTTTCTGACGTGCAATATCTCAGGAACTGCTTATCCTATTTTCATGCTGTCTTTTGCATCTTGTTCCTAAATAACTTTGTGAGGGCATGACAATCTTGTTTTTTTCAAAAGTTAGCTAAATTTGTTTAATAAACCCCCAAAAAAAAGATTATGAATGTGTTTGATCGAAAACTGAAACTTTAACGCTGTGCAAAAATTTTTCTGCAAAGAAATTTAAAAAAGTTCTGTTATGCCCAGGAGTACCCATTCTGCGGTCACCGTGACGAATTTCCTACTGCCTTTTGCAGATTCTCCAGGATGGGGAGAAGCTGCACATATAACCCATCTTGATAAACTTTTATAACTGGAGAATGAATAATCACAGCCTCATGAAACTTTGCAGTTAGCCTTATGACTTAGACTAACTGAAAAGTCTTATGACTTTGCAATTAGTCTAAGACTAAATTTGCAGTTAGTCTTAGTCTGTGTTTTGAGCATGCTCTTAAATTTTCATTCAGTTATATGTAGAATTAAACGAGTTCATTTTCCATCCCCACCTCCCACCTTAAAGGGGCCCTCCGGAGCGTTCTGCGATGGTCTTTATATGGCGGTAACTCAATCTACAGGCCCTAAGGATCCTAAAAATCATAAAATTACGATCATGTGCAGCGGATTTCCCTATTAAAATTGCTATCAAAGTCCCCGGCACGCCCCCCTTTCTGAGATGACCCCGGAAAACGGAAGGGGCATCTCTTTACGCGTCAGCCAATAGCAAGCGAAGGATACCGGCGTCACTGTGCGTCACCAACGCAGCCGACCGCCGACCCGCGGAGAAATCTCTCGAACACGCGCGGACCGTCGTCAAAGAGCCCGGACTTTGTGCTCCGCAGTCGTCGTTTGTCGCACTGCATTGTTGCGCTGCTACTGCAATACGCAGTCGCATTCCACATATGACAAGGAAAAGTTTGACTCGTTGACGTGGAAGACTCGCAAAGCTGGCTTCGGAGTCGGGATCCACGGGAAGAAGGAACACGTGTCCCGCAAACGCACGCCTGCAGACGCCCTGGCAAGCAGACGAGCCGACGCGCCGATGCATCACCCCCTAGCAACAAGCTTGCGGGGAGAAAACAGAGTTCGCTGGTTTTGGAGCGATAATTGCGGACTATGTTTCCTGCACCACAATCAGTTTACGTTTTTCTCAAACTCTAATTTACAACAAGCTTAAAAAGTGTTGCAATAATAATGTTCGCACTCGCTGCGAGATGCAGCATTTCCATTGGTCAACTTTTAGCGATGGGCAGGGAATGGGGGATTGTCTTCCGAGAGAAAATAGTCCCGATATATTTCTAGTGCCATCTGCTTAATGAACGGTTTTGCAATCTAAAACTTTGTATACATATTAACTTGCACCTACTACGCAATATAACAACATAAACAGACGATCGCAGAGAGCTCCGGAGGGCCCCTTTAATGTAAAAGTTGTCTGGGCAAAAGTAAAAAGGCCACTTCATAGTCCCTTTAAGGGTGAGAAAAGATATTCAATGATTAGACATATAATGATTTAGGAGAAGTCCCCAAGGCAGAGAAGGTTTAAGCGAAAATCGATTTCCACCCGAAATGGAACGCAACTCATGGCCTCCAGGGCCATGCCTTGAGCCCGAGCTGCATCCTATTTGTAGTCTGGCTAAAATGCCCCAACGCCTGGCAGCTAGACCTCTCTCCTCGACTACAGCTCCGCGCAAATCGTAGTTGGCGACAAGCAAGTGGTCCTCCTTTAAGTCTTTCGACAGTCGCCAGAACACAGCGCAGAGACTGCACGGCGCACGACACGATTCGCCCAAACTTTGGACTAAAAGAGCAGCGAGCCTCCGCTGAGCGTGCTTCCAGACGCGGCGAGCCGAAACGCTCAGCAAACCGTTGCCCGATGCATTCGTTTCTTTTGTCCATTCCGCAGGCATCCGACCGTACAGACGTCGTGCAGAGAGAAGGGAGCCCTTGATGCGGTCCCACTGACCTTATGCAAGAGAGGGCTCAACGGCTCACCCTGGGGCTGGGCGCCGGCAGGCCAGAGGGCTCCCCGAGCAGGGACTGGGAGAAGAGGCTGGCCGGGGACGAGGGCTGGCTGTCCCCGGGCCCCATCTCCAGGTGCAGCCCCAGAGCCTCCAAGTCCGCCTGGCACAGCGACTGGCCCCCCCGGCCGGAGGAGCCCCCTCCTCCGAGCTGGTGCAGCCCGCTCAGCTGTTGCGCCTGCAACGCAAAGTCCGGGGGTTACTTACATTGGACCGCGGCGGACGCCAGGAGCCGTCCCAGATGGTTCGGCACCGCGGAGGCGGCACTGTGCCTTTCCCTAAGATTGCAAACGCTCAGGGGGCATTGGATCGGCTTTGATTAGGGTTGCCACCTGCCCTGGTTTTCGGTCTCTATCTAAAAGCGGCAGTCCATTGCCGATTTTTCCAACTATCCAAGCATTTTCTTTTTTGTTTTTTAGAGAAGGGGGTTTGTGTAATTATAGTTTTGACCATCAATAAAAAAAACTAGCGCGAAAAAACAGCCAGTCCACGAAATTTTTTTTTACAAGTAAACAAAAATTTGTTGAGGACTTTCAAGTAAAGAAGGCACGTGAGTGAGCTTGCTCGAGAAACAACTGCATCATTCAAACATGTCTAAGCGGATTTGGCGGCAAGTGGGCAAATGAGAGGGAAATGGAAGAAAGCAGAAAACCTGCGGGGGTGTGAGAAGCACGCTACTACTACGCAGGACTGCCCTGCCCCTCCCGATAGCTGTTTGTGACTTCAGGGGAGGGGTGAATGGTTTTACGACTTCCAACAATTGTCAGCATCCTGAGAGACGTGTGGTGCCATCGCCCGTCCACAGAGGCGTGCGGCGCTTCCACTTTCTTTACTCCTTTTCCTGCTCGTTTTCCTTGCTTTCAAACTTCGTCATTTTTTCTTCGTTTCTTTTTCCGGGTCTTTGCCGGAACACGAAGATGTGCTGAAAGATACACTGGCTGTTTTTGGGAAAGGCTGACATCTGTAGAAAAATTGTAGCCTGCATATGTCCCAAAGTGACAGGAGCAGTGCACGTTAGAAACCGGCTTGCTGAATGCTATACTCACCCCTGCTGCATGGGATGAGTAGAGGTGCGGGATTTGTTTTTGCCGCATCTCTTTCGACTAAATGGTATGTATCTATGCATGCTATCGAGTTCAGTGTTGTGTATTCGTGTACTTACATGTGCTATTGTATTATTGTATTTATCTGATTTCACTTTTGGAGGCTCGTGTCAAAATAAATAGAATTCAAAGCATTTAAAGACCGTCAACACTGCACCTTTGGTTTGACCAGTTCCATCCCACATAATCTCCCCCGCCACCCGGCGTGGCTGGTTTTTTCTTCACAGAAAGGTGGCAACCCTATCTCCGATTGCTCGTAGCGTTTGTTGCCGTCGAATGTAAGGCCAAATGAAATGTAGTCTTTGCTGGCCTTCCAACAACCAACTGCCACGATTGTAAAGACTGCACTGTCGCCAACACTGCCTTGGCAAGGAGGCTGGAGAATTCCCTACAACGCTCCTCCTTTCGTCTGGCAAACACCTTCATTTTTTTACTTAAAATTTTGCCCGCTCTCCATTGCACACAACTTCATTGCGTTTCAGGGTGCATTACCTAAAAGAATCAACAAACACCAAATGTCAGAGAAGGCATGGGAGGCATTTGAGGAATTCATTTAAAAAGCAGTGCAGTGCCACGAACACAAACCAAGAGATTTCTGGAGAACAGTAATTACATTGTTTAGGAGCATCTTGCCTCTTTAAAACAATTATGGAGCCTCTGTCCTGTGGCTGAAGCCTGGTGACCTTTGTTATGTCTCCAAGGTCGAGTAAAACTTTTCTCGAAACCCCGACTGCAAAAAAGCATTAGGTAGACTGGACGGAGCCAAAGAACACCATTTTCGTCCACTAAAACCAATGTGCGCACAAAACAACAACTATGGCACCCACGTACATGTGGACAGCCGCTTACACGCCGCAGCGAGTTTGTAATCACCGAATCTGATGGACTATCGTAACCTTCGGTTGCAGACACAACGTTGATGCTAGCCAACCTTTTGCCCCTTTTTTTGTTTGGCAACAAACTCGGCAGCACCACGCGTCGGGTAGCCCCGGCCCATTCCGAATTTTTTAAGCATCACTCTTTCACCATAGGCATGAAGGAATCCCGCCAACGATACAAGTCCTTAATCGTCAAGAACAGAGCATCGATGCGAACTCGTAAATGCTGCAAAAGCTGCCTTTTAGATTGTGAAAGGAAGTGCCTAAAGGCTTAGTTCCGTCCATAGTCACCGACAAGGTGTGAATGGCGGGGTGTCTCTTCCCAACGCCCGCAGTGACCACAGTCGGTTGCGTCCCACAAAGGACGACCCGGCCATAGCTCACGGGGATGCCTGCAGGTGCCTTACCTGTCCTTGCTGCTGCTGTGTCCTTGCCCCGACGATGGCCCTGAGCTCCTGACGCACATACTCGGAGGGCATGCTGCCACCGCCCGCCCCTCGACTCCTGAAACGGACGTGCAACTTCGTTTTCACCCAGTTTCTTGTACGTCTCTCCTGAAATAGGGCACTTTATCTTTTTCGGTTACAGTCGACAACCGATTTTTCGAAATTGTTTTAATAATCGGAATTGAAATTGTTTTAATAATTGGATGTGTGCCAAAAATTGGTCGGCGACTGTATTGCAATAACGTCGAACCCATCTGCCGTAGAGACTGATAGAGCAAAGATGTGGATATGGTAAATGCTTCTATTACTCGTATGGGACCTCGAAACACTGATCAGCTAAAATTGTTTCTTCGAAATGCTCGATTATTCCAACTCCGACACAATCCTCTCAAGTTCAAAAAATTGGTCGATGGCACATTGGGAAGTGCCGAAAACTGGGCTATGTGGTACTGATTCATCATAAAACAGAAGTCACAAAAAAACTGGCACTATGGGAAGACACAATCACTATAAAACAAAAGGCTCATCTCCAATGCCTTTCTATGGGCCCCATGTAGTGCCCCGTTTTATAATAAATATCACGAAGATACCGATGCAGTTAAGTTTTCCAAAAAGAACTGGCTTCGCAAAGGAGAGGTTCCATGTTTGAGGACCCACCAATCGGATTAGCATCTTAATGAGGTTTTTTACTGCGACATGCCAAACTAGGAAACGACAAAATCAAAAACTAAACAGGACTGCGTTCCGCTCACCTGTCACTCCCCGTCGAAAAAATCTGCAGGGCCTGCTGATCGAAGCTGAAGTGAGGCGATGCGTCGAGGTTGAAGATGGGGGTGGAGGTTGTGGGTGCGCCCGCTGAATAGCTGGCCCCCGGCGACATTTGGGGCTGGGCCCCGGGAGGAGACAGGAGGGGGTCGGCACCACCAAAGTTCTGCTGGGGCGTTCGCGGAGAGTTCACCCGGGCTGCGGAAAGACAAGACGTCACGTCAGCACGTGCGCGGAAAGAGTGCGGAGGACACAAACAAGAATGCCCACTGAGGCCAGCTTCACGCAGGGCAATTTTCCCAGAAATTTTGGCGTTGTTTACCAGTTGTTTCCTTACTTTCTCTAGATCCTCCTTTATAATGTGTTGTAATTTACCACGAAGGCAGTACAATGGGGTGCACTTCTTCTGAGAAAACATAAGATGACCAAGCCTTCGCAATGAAAAAAAAAAAAGTGGGAGTTTGCCAAAACTCACAATCCCTAAATTTATGGGTAAGCTATCGTGGTCACAGAAAGTTCACCAAGAACAACCTCAGTGTAACACTAATCACAGAAAAGTATTATTTTGCATGATTTTATTGCAAACGGTATTGTTGTAAGGAAAATATCTGCAACAAGACAACTGCACTGAAAATAATTTTGTTTGGAACAAGCCCCATCTGAAGCAGGTTCATTCAAAATTATTCTGTTTGGAACATTTTCATGTGCAAGTTGGTTAGGTGCAGTTAGCTGTAAAACTGGTTCACAGGAAGTGCTCTTGTTTCAAACAATGCCATTTGGAACAGCAGCAGCTCTACTGCAAACAAAAGACCCCCCTTGAAACTCGTGTCACAATCAGTGGAAGATCATCCGACCCCCTGCACAGATGCTGGACAACTGACACCATGGAACGTGCAAGCCTACGACTACCACAAATAGTCAAGGTAATCCCAAAGGCCGGAGGCATAAGTGGGCAACTTTGACATCATACTCCCTCTGCACGAGCGCTTGTGCAGCCGAGGTGCAACCGAATGCAAGGAGCTCGCGTGCGTCTGCCATTATAGGGGGATTCCTCCCAACAGAGACGGCACACTTTCAAAAGGGGTCCATGTCGTTGAAAAAAGATTTCCGACAACAACGCTTTCGAAGGCAAGACACAGAGGGAGAGAGAGAGGATCGCGGTACCCCACCTGGCACGGACATGGTCCTCTGTAGCCGCACCTGCTGCTGCTGGGACACCGGCGGGGGTCCGGGAGAGGGCCCCCTCTGGGAGAAGAGGGCCCCGACGGGAGACGGGGGAAACCCGTCCCCTCCCGGGGGAAACGGGGACGGGTTCCGGGAGAGGGTCTGTCCCCCGCCCCCGCCCCCCGCATTCCCGGGGCTGGGTAGGGATCTCAGCGCTGCAACCATCTGCTGCTGGTGTTGCTGCTGTTGCTGTTGCTGCTGTTGTTGCTGTTGCTGATGCTGGTGCTGATGATGCTGTTGTTGCTGCTGCTGCTGCTGCTGCTGCTGCTGTTGTTGTTGTTGTTGTTGCTGTTGTTGTTGTTGTTGCTGCTGCTGTTGCTGTTGTTGCTGCTGCTGCTGCCTGACTTGGTTGACGAAACGTGCCTGTTGTGCGGCAAAAGTACCCTGCACGAGAAGTCAGGCGACAAGGTCGTTAGGAATGCCTCACGACTATGTCCAGAAACAACGAAATACTTTAGAGCTTTCCTATGCCCGTGCCAACTATTAATTCAGCTCTTCGATCTCGAAGAACTTGTTTTTGCTTCGATTGGCAGCCGAGAAACCCCTCCCGGTCCTGGCATTTATGTAGTAAAGCAGAAGGTGCCTAGAGGCCTCGTATACAATAATGAACACACTGGAGACTAGTCTGGCACATAGTCATGTATCAGCAAGTGGCTCAGATCTGCCTCAAGTAGTGACTGGGAAACCACTTTCCTTAGGTGCAAGGGGGGGGGGGGGGGGGGGCAGAGGAGGTTCCAGGATCCCTTGGCTTAAACCCAGAATCCAAGGATTAATGCATCTATGCAGGGGTTCTCAAACTGGGCTCTACAGAGCACAGGGGTTCTGCGAGCTGGTCTCATGGGTTCTGCGAGCACCCAAATAGCAGTGCCCCCCCCCCCCCCCCCCTCCCCTTCCCCTAGTTTAACCCTCCATGGACTGAGCCATGGATTGAGCTGGTGTTGAGGCAAAGCAACCTCACCCTTCGCACTATAAGGTACCGTATTTTCCGGGCTATAGTCCGTGGACTATACATGTTTAAAAGCTGAAATTTCTGGCAGTGCAGGCTATACAGGAATTTTGTATTTCAAGATTGTTCATTGTGACGAGACGTGACGGAATTCGTGAATGAAAGAGTATGTTAACAATGATTTATGTATAGTACAAGCTTCTTTGTGAGCTAGGAGAGCAGACATCTGTCAAGGTGTGCCGTGTAAGAGATTTTCAAGTCGACTAAGCACCAGTTGCGGACTGTGCACGGCGTCCAGACTATGCACTGGGTGCGGACTATCTAAGCATAAACTTTTGTTTTTGGACTAAATTTGTTTTTGCAAACTATACACCAGGTGCGAACTATAGCTTGGAAAATACAGTATATATATTTTACACTGTTGACCAGGTTAATTCCTCTGCCTTCTTATTCTGTTTGTAGTCCTCCATTTTGTCTTATTTTTCCAGTGCAATAAACTCTTGTTCAGTATCTAAACGCCTTTGTTGCCTAGTATTATTGGTTGGTAACAAGGGGGCAGGGGTCCTTGGCATTTTTTGAGGCTTGCTAGGGTTCCCTGGGACGAAAAAGTTTTGAGAACCCCTGATCTAATGAATATCCCTGCTCCAATACAGTATAGACCACTTACAACGTAACCGCTTATAGTGCAGGACCGGGTATAATGCGACTTTTTTAAACCACCGGTTCGCCTCCCATAAAACTCCATGTAATTACACACCGCTTAAAATGCAGGCGCGCGAATGGAAATACCGGTTATAATGCGGTTTTCGGAACAGCACGGCGACTGCGCCGACTGACCGACGCGGAGAGCACGTTTCCCTGTGCGACACTAGATAACGGCGCGAGCCGCAAGTGGCACTCGCGGGGCAAGGAGGTTGCTTGAAGAAGCGGGGAGAAGCGAAGAGAGAGGCGTCAGTTGCCACAGCGACGGAGGGACGCACGCACGTGGCATTCACGTGCGTGCGTCCCTCCGCTGCGTTGAAAACAATCGCAAATCGAGGAGAAGCGTTCGCGCGCGTTGCATGCCGGTCGCGGGCAGGCCGGCTGCTTCTATTCGCAAACATGGCGTCGGTTTTGATCGTCTACGTAGACGGCGTGGTAGAAGCTCATCGTTCAACGTAAAAGCGCTGTCCTTGACTGTGAATTTTCCTCGTGTGTCGTTATGATAACCCAGCACATACTAGAAGGGAAGATCCACCTACTCGTGCGGCGATGTTGTGGCGGCACTCTCAAGACGGCAGAAACGCCCGTGTCGTCGTGTTTGTTTACTTCGACTACAGTGGTGCTTTCTAAGCATTTGTGTTTTCGAACATCGCCCAAATTTCTTATTTGGAGCATTTCATGCCTGTGCTCAAGTTGAAGGTATTACTGGCACGTACCGTATAAAGGACGCAAATTTTCGCACGTTTTCATCGCCGGAGAAAAGTGATTAGGGTTAGCAATCCTGAACGCTCGCAACGTCCGTCCGCAACCTGCGACGCCGTTAAAAGGCTGCGCCAGGCAAAAGGCACTCATTTCTTTCCAAATGTGTGACATACTTGAGAGAGAAGTGTACTAGTCTGGTGAAATAAAAAAAGACTTTCCTCAAACTAAGCTTTATTTGTCATCCAACATAAAATAAATTCTTTTACAAAGGTAATTTGTCTGATGGCATGCATTTTGGCCTGAAAAAATTTATGTTTTGGTTATAGCGCGGTACCGCATATAGTGCGGATTTTCGCGACTCCCGCGACATACGTTATATGCGGTCTACACTGTATGGTACTCAAACAGTGATGTCCTGCGGAAATAAAATGGCGGGTGTGTCGGTAACCTAGAAGGCCATTGTACTGAATTTTCTAGGCATCATTTAGGGCAACGGCAGACGGACAGACAGTCACACCCACACAGCGCAAAGAGAGAGAGAGCCCACCCACCTGAGAGAGCTGGGCGTTGAGCATGGGGTTCTGCTGCTGGAGCGAGGCAGGACCCCTGGGGGTTGGGACCCCCCACTGGGGAGGGGCCCCCCCCAGGGCACCCCCCGTTCCCCCTGGGGTCTGCTGGGGGGACGCCAGGTGCGGGGAGCCCGGGCTCGGGTACGGCAGGGGACTAGGGAAGGGCTGCTGCGGCGAGTAGCGCTGGCCCGGGGACAGCTGCTGGTGCGGCTGCTGACTGGGCTGCTGGGGGGGCAGCGGGGCCTGGGGGGGGCTCAGGACCCCACCCCCGAACCGGGGGGACAGCTGGGGCCCGTCCCCGCCGGGCATCGAGGTCGGCGTCCGCTGTGGACCGGAAACGGGTGCACGCTTCAATTTAAACACCGGCTCAAACCCCAGTTTCTAAACTTTGTTTCTGTTCCCTTTCTCGCTTAATTTATGTTGAATTATCAAATATGCCGTAATTTTGCGTGCTAAACACAGATATAAGGTAACATTTCCCATAGCGGACTTTGTTTCCGAGAAAATCCCAATTTTATGGCAAAAGTTTCGTTCAAATATTTTTAGGTTATTTCAATCAAAAGACAATGCCTAAAACTACTACCGTAAAATTTCTTAAGGACGCCTCTCCCCGAAAAATTACCCATTCAGTTTTTTTTTGTTTTTTTTTAGCTAAATATCCAAACAATTCCCAAACATCGCCCACCTTCTCGATTCCTGTCAGACGTCACGCAACGTCCGACAGGAATCTCATTATCTGCGCGATGTGCGGTACCGGTAGGTCTGACAAGCGAGTTCATAGCGGGTTCCTGCGGGTCGCTTACCGGCTTCATTATCATTTTCATCCTTTCCTGAAGGACGGGGTCCTTGGCCTGACCCAGCTGGTAGCTCTGCTGCAAGGACAAAGCAGTCGGCGGTTTAGGATTCACCACAGGGTCCCTTGTCGATGCCTACCCAAGCTGGGCGACGGTGGGAGCCATAGACCAATCGGCTGCCTCCTCCTTATCGACACTGACCGATCTCTATGCGTCTTCACCAGAGGGAGCGTGATTACGCAGCAAAAGAATGGTCCCTAGATTACCTGGTCTGGACTCGTTTCGTCAAGAAATGGAAATGTTTTTCCTAGGGACACACTGAGGCATAAGAGGCAAGCTGCGAATGTTAGGAGTCAACCAATCGGTTCACCCGGAGAAGCGGCCGTAGAGAAAGTAGTGGATGCATCTACTGTTTCGTAAAAGCCTTGAAGAGCTGTCGAAAAGATGGATCAATTGGAAACGCCAAGTAAAAAGTGCTATATCTGCTTAAATAATATTTTTTTATTTACTACAATTTTTTTTAAGTTTATTTTCTTTCACTTTTTAAAAAGAAATTCTTGTCACTTTTTTTTTACACTGGCGCCATTTGTGGTGACAAAATTTACTAGGGCACGAACTGGCAAAGTTTTCAGGCCAGTAAGTATAGTTTAACTAAGGACCGTGGCATTATTTTCTTTCACTTTAAAAAAAAATAAGATAAGACAAGACTCACGACCAATCCAACAAGCAGATAGCCTAGGCTGTGAGCTTGGGGGGTTGTACAGCAAGGGAGTGCAGGTGACTCACCTGGATGGCTATGTTGGGAGGTGCCACGGTGTGGTTGAGCAAGTCGTTCATGTTCTCTGGCGGGAAGGGATCGGGGGGCTGCTGCTGCGTCTGCATCGTCAGCTGCTGCTGCTGCTGCTGAGCCAGCAGCCGCTTCTGCTGCTGCTGAAGGAAGATCTTCTGCCGGCGCTCCAGCAGGTTGCGACGCATCTGCACCGCCAATCCATCAATCCGTTTCATTTTGCCACAAATGAAAAAAGATTCAGAATTTTGAGATGGTTTTAGTAGTCACAGCCCCAGCAACCTAACACCACCATCGCGCAAATATGGCCGTGCCGCGCGATGTGCCAGCTCAACGCAGAACGCTGGGGCATCATCAGCAAGCAAGCATTAAACTCAAAATGAATTGCCCCACTTTTTATCCTCCACGTTTCGAAACTGCGGCGATGTGTGGGCATAAGCGAGCTTTTAGAGGCTCGACTTTCTTCCAGGAAAGGAGGAAAGGACTGCCCACTGTCCTTCCACAGTGCTGATGAACACTGATAAGCGCAGATGTCTGGTTCCCGCGGTTGCGTAGGTTGTGTGCAGGGTAACCTGGGAACAAGCTGATACTACAGTTAGAGGGTCACCGGGACAATTGTTCTATTGCGCAAACAACTGACAACATGAAATTACGGAAGCCACAAGAGACGAGCAGAAATTGTGACAGGTGCTGTTCCGGCCAGTTCCATGTTTTCCTGCTGGGTGCCGTCCATTTTGCCGAAGACACAAATAGTGCAAGTTTGGCGTACTATACACGGATGCATACACTGGGTACATTGAAGGTAAACATGTTCGGCAGATATCTGCCTGGTTGGGTGAATTTAAATGTAAAGAATAAAGAAATACGCCAACCAAAAAGTCGAAAAAATTGTCCCATTGTTTCGAAACAGTTCGTTTCTTCCTCAGGGGCGACTAAACGGGATAATAGCTTCTTTGTCTTTCTTTGAACTGGCTGGGTACATTGCAGCAGAACTAACAGTATCTTAAGTACATCTTTGAACGGGGTGTCTAGCCAATTATTTTAAAATTGCTCGACTTTTTCCGGTTTTCCCTGACAATTTCAGGCAAAATTCCCTGACCACTGTAGAGGCAGTTAAATATACAGTAAAACCTCGTTATAACAAAACGGGATATAACAAACTAATGGATATAACAAAGCAATCATAATTCCCCTTGCTTGCTAATAGTGGGAAGAAATGGACATTGGCTATAACAAACTAATGGTTATAACGAAATAATTACGACCGCTCCTTCAACTTTGTTATAACGAGGTTTTACTGTATAAGACCATTACAACACATGGAATTGAGCATTGAGCACTGTGAGGATAATTTTTAACGGACATGATCCAACTTTCATATTCCGAAATATCCGGGTTTGTCCAGTCCGGATTAAACAAGCACTTTCTTGCCGCCGATATCGTCAGTGAAGAGGCCACTTCCAGAAACACGATGAAAACACAACGCCCAATGACGCACGTCAATTACCGAATGGCAGCATGGCTAGCATGGCGGCATGGCCGCCAGATGCACACTTTCGGATACTTTCGGCTTGGATTAAATTGGGAGCTGCGGCTTTTCCATTTGTTACTAAATCTAGTAGCTCTAACTTGATCTCACCTAGTGTCGCGCCCTCAATCCAATCCAAGGCTTGGACTAGATTTGTCGGGTGCTCCATTTGCATCGGGTAGCACACTTAACATCGGGTGAGCAGAACCTGCGCTTCGCTTTAAGCAGAATTTGTTGCCTATTTTTCTGTCCCTAAGTCCTCAAGTCTTTGCTCGGGGCACTCAATGGCATTTCCGGCTCATTTTCCCTGACTGGGCTCGCTTTTTGACAATATCCCCGACTTTTCCCGGTAATTAAAATTTCCCTGACAATTCCCGGTTTTCCCAGTTCTCCCGGTCGCTAGACACCCTGTTTGAAGTAATTACAACCCTGGCAGTGACCACCACAAACAACCAGTCTTCAAATCCACTTATGGGTGTTGTTCAACCGACCACCCACACAGCGCTCACTACTCCTCCATTTTCCGAGGAGACATAATGCGCTTATTTGACCTTTACCTTCCCTGTGTTTTGTGCACCACCCTCTTCTGGTACCGTACAACCCCAAAGATAAACTAAAAATCAAACACTCCAAGCAAGGAATCGGCTCCCAAAGACTCACCTGCGGAGACACATTGGCCATGTTGGCTGCGCTCATCTGTTGCGCCGCCACCGCCGTCGCGTACTGCATGTGGCTTGGCCTCAGCCCTTGCTGCTGTTGCTGTTGTTGCTGCTGCTGTTGCTGTTGCTGCTGAGAAGCCAGCCTCAGCCTCTGCGCCGTCGCGTAGCCTGGTGGCGCCTGGTAGCCTCCCTGCGGGTGCGGGGGGTGGTGGGCGTACAGCGGGGCCTGCTGAGCAACTGCCGCCGAGGACGACTCGAAGCTCATCAGCTGCTGCTGGATGGCGCTGATGGCCATCTTCTCGTTGAGGTCTGTGGGAGACGGGGCGGCTGCCAGGGTGACCGGAGGCGTGCTGTTGTCCAGGACCTCTTCCAGCAGGCGGAGCAGCACAGTCTCTTCCGAAGCGCCGCTCGCACTCTCTGCGTTGCAGCCCAGCTGGAACTCTTGCTGTAAGCTCCACACCTGCGACAAATTGTGAAAGCAGACTTTATAACCAGTTTATAATGATCTTATCTTAAGAGTACTGTATTTACACGAATGTAGGTCGACCCTTTTTTCAATTTAAAAAAAAGTCTGAAGTGGGGGGTCGACTTATAATCGAACCAAAGCATTCCACCACCGGCAAACAATCGCGATATCATTAACACCCCGGCTTGTTACGAGTTCAGCCGGCTGTACCTCTAGTATTGCACTATTCTGTGTGCTCATTTTAAAAATTAATTATTTTTTTTATTTGCGCGAACGAGTATCATTGATAGCGAATCGCAAATTAACCCGAATATACGGCGGTGAACAGCGCACGGCACGCCTGAGTCCCGGGGGGTGGCGACACTTCTTGTAAGAGCCACTCCGGAGGCCGCTGGAACAGCCTCATGGCACACTCACTCTGCGGCTTCTCTTCGCAGTTTTTCGTACGATTCACGGTAGAAAATCGTTCGATCGAGTGGCGAGATCATGCTGGAGCGCTAACTATGTTTTTTGTTTGTTTTTTGTATTGACACGCGTGATCCGGGCAGTTTAGGCCTTCGGTGCTCGTTTATGGCCATTCTTTACTCAGAAGCAACCAACAACTGCGCTGTTGGACGCAAGTTCGACCCGTCGGAGCGGGTGATGCTTAAGTGGAGTCTGCAGTGGCGCGGGATCTTAAACTGTGACGGCAAACAAAGAGGCTTCTGTAGGCCAAAGGCTGGTTCCGAAGTTGGAAGTCAGGTTTGTAACGTACGCCGCAAAAGTGTGCAATCGGTCCCTACCCGTGACATGCAACGCGATCGCCGAGCAAGCGCGGAAAATGCGGTCGATCCTGTCATTTGCGAAGCGCAAGATTTCGTTGGACGACGCTGACGACGTGCTTCGAGAATGTAGCAGTGATGACGACGAGACTGATATCACCAATGTGGACGAGTCGTAGTTTAGTCCTGGACGGAGTGAGAACAACGGTGAGCAGCTTCAGTTGTCCTCCAGCGTGAACTTCATAGTTTCGATAACGCCTGGCCATATCATGCACCTCGCGTGTGCATGTGCAGCCAAAGCACACCAGAAGGCATCCATCGAGTGTTGGAGGCTCGGCTTTCAAAACAGATACTTTCCCGTTCTCCCGTGTCCGCAGTAAAATGTGCACCTGAAGTTTTTTTTTTTTTTTTTTTTTTTTTGCTGATGTGCAATGTGGGGGGGTTGACTTACAATCGTGTAAATACGGTAGGTACTCGGGACGAAAGAAGATTTGCAACTTCACGTGGCAGACGGAATAAAAGACCCGCTGTTTGCCATTCTTGTCTTCACCTCAAAAAAGGTTTGGCTTTTCGGAGAGCGTTACAAATTTCCACATTTACAAGAAGAATAGACACGCTGGTGTGTGCAAGGAAGATCAGTTATTTGCAATTTAATGGACGCACAATTCATGCATAAAGAGCATCGTGTTTCCTCACCAACAACCAAATATCATAAAAACTAGTTTGTGCAGTGCGTGAACTACGTGTAACACTCGCTCGTACAGCTGCGTCATGCACTTTGTTGCGACCTTCCGACATGATTTGAGGTGCATCGACACAAGGGCATTCAGTTGAGTAAACAAATCAATTAGCTTTGTAATGCCAATGCACCAGTTGCGCAAGACGATTCCAAACTGTGCGGCAACTTCACATAGTTTCGTGCCAACGATCTTCGATGAGAGCGGTGGCGTAGACCACGACTCCACAGATAGAGCAATCAACAATAAACGTTGGATGAGCTCCGGCATCACATTGGCATCAAGTGCAGCAAGTCAAGCACAGCAGCGCTTCCACCCAACTTCATATACAAGGCATGTCCACCAAACGGTGGCCGGCTGCCTTGTTGCCACGGGGCTCTTCGAGAGGCTCGGCAACCTGAGTGCTTCAGTCGTTCTCGCTTGCTTCCAGAAAACAAATCTTCCGCTCAAGAGCAGTAAGCGTGTCCAAGTCGTAAAGTGCAGCACTCTCGGGTGTTAACGTTAATGCAGGCTCCAATGGAACGGGCAATAATCTCGGCGATCCGAGCACATTGTCATCTGCGGCGGCTTGCTTTCAACCGCTCCGTCCTCGTGATTTCCTGAATCGCGAGTGGCGGCCAAAGCTTTCTCGTGTTCGCAACTTCAACCCGGACATCCTCAAAACGATCATTAAAAAGTGTACGGAAAAGTTCACGAAGAAAACTAGAGACCAATGCGGCAGCAAAGCAGGCTTCCAAATGAGAACTAATTTGGGATGAGCGAGCGAGCCAAGTTAACGAGCATGCGACGTGACGTGCCCAGGCCCCCAATAGGAGCTTGTGTTTCATTATTTTGGCTAATACGGGCCCTCGTAGCATTTGTTGCCACAAAATTGTGTAAATTTCGATTGGGCTCACAAATATTTCCCAGTGCCTTTGCTTACCCTCGAACGATCACTGGTATCAGCACCAAAAATAGAGGAGTTGATCTTTCCAACAAGGGTAGCATAGCGAGCATGCAGCAATTCCGAGATAAAAGAATGGTCAACATTGCGACAGTCCATGCATGCGCTGCGCCACTCTGCATTTTCTGCCGTCACTTGCACACTGAGAATAATTGAAAACAAGATAACTATGCCGCGGACACAAATGAAACTTCAAAATCAAACTTCTTAAAAGAAAAACTTGGAATTTTTAGGCCGTAAGCAATAAAATCTGATGCCCACCGATACCTTTCCAAAGTAAAATGCGAAAGGGCGCCGATATTCTGTTTGCGCTAACAGTGTTGCGCGGAGTACATGCCTTGCGTCACCTCCCCAACCACCACCTCATTTGATAATTGCAGTTTCAATTAAAAGTGTATGAAAAATTGCTACAAATGTGTTCGATACGTAAAATGTCCTAGCATCACAAACATTTAGCTATACTCCAAGCTTCCAGACACCAGATGCCTACAATCACGGCAGTCTTCATCGGATGGTTTAACGCATACCCCGTGTACACTTGATAGCTGTTTCTAGAACGAAGAGACAATACCATTAATGGGGCCGATAAACCCGGCGATCTTCCAGAGCCTTCCATACTCTCTAGCCCCTCTCCCTCCGTGCACACAGGTGGTCGAGCCCCTCCTCACCTACCCCTCTGGTCACACAACCTCTCCATCAACCAATCAGCTTTGAGCACCTCCCTCCTCCTCTCCCACCCGTCAACCAATCGGCGTCAAGCCTCACGGCCACGGTTTTATCTGGGCTTCGGAAAATGCCGAACACCTAGCCAAAGAATGTTTCACGTTAAAAACAGTAACTAAACTTACGTCGTCCAGGACCTGAGAGAGAAGCAGGTCGGCCGAACCGGCGCCGCCCCCGCTGCTGACCAGCGTCACGGACGAGGCATTGACTGCATTGACAATGCTTGCGGGTATCCTTGACTCGCCCAGCAGCTCGGAAAGGACCGCGTTGCTGCCCGTCGGTCCGGACGCCGACTGCTGCTGGGACACGGAAAACGTCGACGACGCCAGGTAGTGCTGCTGCTGAGGCTTCCGCGTGGGCTCCGACCCCGTCATCAGGATCTTGCTGAGGAATCCCTGCTGTTGCTGGTGGTGCTGAAGAGGGGACAGCTGCTGGACGGGGCTCGGCTGCTGGTGTACCAAGCCCCCGCCGGCGAACGACCGCTGCTGCTGCTGCTGTTGCAGTGTCATGGTGCCGTCTGCGAAAAGTACAAAAAACCATCTCGTTCGTGAGTGCCTACGGTGGACCTTGGCATGCATTTGGCAGCAGTGTGGCAAGAAGTAAGTGACTTGCTGCATATTTCAAATATAATTTGCTTAAAGGGCAACTCCGCTTTTTTTCCAGTAGTGCAATACTATACAGTTCTCTTCGTTATCATCTACAAAACCCCCATGGCAAATATTACGACGGAATTCCGCCTAGAAGTTCATTAAAATCGCTGTCAAAGTTTGACAAGCATGAATCCGCTGGTTTTGGATGAGACGTGTGGGCCAGACAACACTGCCCGGCTGCATTTCCGCTTCCTCCAAATTCCTTCTCCCGGCACGTCCGCGACGTCATCAAGCATGTACAGCTTCTTTTTTTTTTTTTTTTTCAATTTTGTTTTCTTTCTTGGGGAGAGCACGGGTGGCGCCAGCGCCGTGAGAGACGTGAGTGACGCGCTCGGCCGGCCCGGCGCTCCTCGTTGAGCGCAGCTTGTGTGTTCAGTGCGTATAGGCTCCTTGCACTGACGTCACATTGCATACTTTTGAACACCATGTAAAAGGAGGAGAGGGAAGCTGCTTTTGTAAGACTTTTGAGTGATAGGTTAATCTTCTATAATCTTCTGGGAGGAGAAAAGCTACACCTGTGCTAAACCAGGAGGCACAAAGGAGGATCCTGATATGAGGGGAGCTCCTTCTTCCCCTTGTATATCACGTGGGTGTACATGCTTAGTGATGCCGAATATACGATGTTGTCCGGGTTTGCCACCGTTTTGGTTTCGGTTTGCGATCATGGCTAGAGTAAAATTACACGAAAAATTTTTTATTTTTCGTGAAACAAAGGATTGGGGATTGTTTTTGAGTGCTTCAAAAAGCAAAATCGGCCACTCTCTCAAAATTTTTGAAATTAAGCGGAGTTGCCCTTTAATGTGAACCATACAGAGTTTGGAGGGGAGTAAATTTACTAAAAAGTAAACCTCGTACCATCTCCTGTACAATGAAAGCAATCGTGTAACTAAGCCATACCGCAAACATATCTGTGCCTCGAGTCCAGGGTTCCTATCTGACACACTAACATGTGCAATGCTAAAACCCAAGTCAGTATGTGAAGCTTGGGTAGGTTTGCACCCGGCAAAGATCGTCCCATTATCGTTAAATTTTTGCGGTCTAAAGACAAAGAAGGTATATTGAGCTCTGGGTACAAATTAAAGGGCTCGTCTTTCGCCATCAGGGAAGATTTTTCTTTAACTGTGCGTACCGCAAGAAATAAACTGCTTGAATTCGCGAAAGTAAAACAGGTTCCTTTCAAACTTCGCTTTGACAAGCTAAGAATCGATAACAAGGTTTTTGAATATGACCCCGCTTCTGGTTCTGTCAAGGAATCCAGATAGCAACGCAAGTGCAACTCTAATCCCGCGCGCTGTACAAAGCCTTCTTTTTCTGCAAACACACGACGTGAGGAAAGCCTATCTATATCTTTCACTAACATACGCAGCGTTCTTTCCAAGCGAGACGAACTAAGCGCGTTCATAACTGATAGAAAGACAGATATTCTTGTACTAACCGAAACATGGCTGAAGCCAGAACACAATGATGACGAAGTACTCAATAACAGTTTCAACTTTGAGATTTATCGTCGGGATCGATTAGATAAGAGGGGAGGGGGGGTGTTAATTGCGACAAAGAAAGACCTACGTACTAACAGTGTTCATGTAGATAGTCATCTTGAAATTCTTTGGGTCTCGGTATATTCAAACGTGACGATGTGTCTTCTTGGCGTTTGTTATAGGCCACCCGATTGCGATGGAACGTTTTGTAGTGAACTACAGAAATTGTTATCTGTTTTAAAAGCCGATTTTCCCAACGCCGATATTTTTCTCTTCGGCGACTTCAATTTTCCCAACGTCGATTGGTCTACTCTAAGTTCATCCTCCCAAGAAGCGCAGATGTTTGTCGATCTAACTCTTGATTTCAACCTTGTTCAGATGATAAATGAATCGACACGTGTAAACAATATTCTTGACCTTTGTCTGGTATCAGTCCCTGAGATAGTTAAGTCTGTCTCTGTCATCGACGGGTTTAGTGATCACAAGCTGATTCATATGACTGTATCACTTGCACCTAGTAGGAATATTACTGGTTCCAAATTTATATTGGATTACAATAAGGCGGATTTCGATAAGATTAATGCTGGTCTTTTGGAGTTTTTTTAATCTAATGTTATGGGTTTTTCTTGTCGTACAGTTGGTGACAACTGGAGTCTTTTTAAAAATAAGCTACTCGAACTTACTACTACCTTTGTTCCACGTGTTCGCATTCGTACCAACAGCAATAAACCATGGTATAATAAAACTCTGAACACAATGAGTAACAAAAAGAAAAGACTGTTTAAGGTGGCAAAAAGTTATAATTCTGAAACTGCTTGGTCTAACTATAACGCCTGGGCCAAACTTTATATTAATAGTTTGCGTTTCTTTAAAGACAAATTTTACAGCTGCGACCTCCCAACAATATTAAAGAACAACCCAAAAAAGTTTTGGAAGCTTATTTCCCCTAACGAGCCATCCCGTTCAATACAGTTGACAAGCATCGACGGTAATATTATCCCCGATGCCGAATGCCGCTCGGTTTTTAATAATTTCTTTTCATCAACGTTTACAAACGAGGATATTTTGAACGTACCTTCCGTACCAGAGCTCAATTTTAGGTATATGGAGCCTATTCTGATAACACCATCAGGGATTGTAGACTTGATAGATAAACTTAAAATTTCCACCTCTGCTGGAGTCGACGCAATTAATTCAGATATTAAAAAATACTAAGGAAGTTGCAGGTGAAATATGCTGTCTATTATTCCAACAGTCATTATCCACCGGCTGCATCCCGCATGAGTGGAAAATTGGGAGGGTCGTTCCGATCTTCAAAAGCGGTGATCGTCATTCAGCGGAAAACTACCGTCCCATATCATTAACTAGTGTTGTATGTAAGTTGTTGGAACATATAATATTCTCTCATGTTGCATCACATCTTGAATCTCACAATTTCTTTTATAAATATCAGTATGGTTTCCGAAAAGGCTTCTCGTGTGATAGGCAACTGCTCGAATTCACTCATGACCTTCATGTTAATATGAACACTAACTCTCAAACCGATGCCGTATTTCTTGATTTCTCTAAAGCATTTGATCGCGTACCTCATTGTCGTTTAATATCTAAACTCTCCTCGCTCAATCTTGATTCTCTAACTCTCTCGTGGATTCGAAACTTTCTCTCTCTCCGTTCTCAGTTTACTGTCAATGGAGATTTTCAATCTGACATTTCTAACGTAACTTCGGGAGTCCCTCAAGGCACCGTCTTAGGGCCTCTTCTGTTTCTTATCTATATTAACGACCTTCCTGATTCGCTGTCCTCTAACATACGTTTGTTTGCAGATGACTGTGTGCTATACCGAAAAATTAATCATCCAAATGACCATCTAATCCTTCAGCGAGATCTCGACAATATTCATAATTGGTGTGACAAATGGTTAATGCCCCTAAACACGTCAAAATGCAAATTACTTAATTTTACTCGCAAAAAAACCCTTTCCTCATTCCCCTATTCTCTTGGTAACACGCCTGTTAGCGTTGCTTCTTCTTACAAATATCTGGGACTTCACCTCACTTCTAACCTCTCATGGATCACCCACGTTAACAACGTAATTGCTAATGCTTCTCGAACCCTCGGATACATTAAGCGTAACCTCAAGGCAGCACATCCTCAACTCCGTAAACTAGCCTACGAAACTTACGTTCGCCCAAAACTTGATTATGCTTCACCAATCTGGAACCCCCATCAAGTCTACTTAACCAAACGTATTGAAGCCGTCCAAAATCGAGCGGCACGTTTTATAACATCGAGTTGTTCGTATAACATAAGTGTTTCTACTCTAAAAGATCAGTGTTCTCTCCCTCTACTCGAAAACCGCCGTAAAATTGCTCTTCTGTGCCTCATCCATAAGCTCTACTATCACGATAATAATATACCTTTTCTTGAGCCCCCTAACAGATCTTCCCATCGAACCACTAACAGCAAAAGTTTCAAGCACCTAACCGGTAAAACTAATGCGTTTATTAACTCCGCTGTCCCGCGAGGCATCCGCGATTGGAACGACCTTCCCAACACCATAGTCGACATTAGTGACGCCGGCCTGTTCCGTGAGGCGATTTCTACATTGTTTTCATAGTTGGCTACCTTATTTTTATACTTTATTATATATTTCTTATTTTGTTTTATTCTTTTAATTTTTTTTTTTTTTTTTTTGTCGAGTGCTTACATAGACGATATGTTGGTGATTTTTGACCTCATTTGTTTCTGTGTGGATTTTCCCTGCTATTTTTATAGCGTTTACAAATGTATAATTGATGTGTTTTTTTGTTTGTTTTTTTCGCTTCGTGCGGTGTTCTGTATTTTTGATTTTATATTCCTTGCCCCCCCTTATGTAATGCCCATTGGGCCTTTAAGGGTTGAATAAATGAAATGAAATGAAATGAAAAGTATGTGAAGCTGCTAAACATAAGAAATGCTATAACTTCAAAACATAAATTATGGTGCTCCTCGTGTATTTCGGAAGGTGGCAGTCGCAGGTCCAGGGAAACGCTACGCAACGGCCGCGCGACATCTTTAACGCCCGCCAGCCAACTTTGCAACGATGCTATACTTCATTTCAACACAACTTGTTAGGAGCGAAAGCTATGCCTTGCACGAGGAAATCCAAGCAAGGCACGTGACAGATCTCCCCAAGGGAGAACACAACGTAACAATATGTCACGTGTCTCATCCCAATACCCTGATGCCCCGATTGACTCACAGTGGTCACAGCTTTCGCCGAGTTAAAGAAAAACAAAGCACAGTGCAACGCGAAACCGGCAAAGACAACATACCTTGCTGTCCAAGGCCCAGGAGTGTCCTGATTGGTTTGCTGACTTGCGCCTGCTGCTGCTGAAGCTGCTGCTGCTGCTGTTGTTGCTGCTGCTGCTGCTGGGGCTGCTGGGGCTGCAGAATTCCGCCCGGACCAACCACCCCTCCGGCGGCGCTGGTGGGCGGCGTGTGAATCAGCTTCTTCTCAAGGTTTTTGGGCAGCCGCTCCTGGGGCAGCTGGGAAACTATGGAGTTGGCGATGGACGTGGGCACCGAGGGCACGGGCCGAGGGGTCTGCGCCAGCATCGACGCCAGCATCGGGTTCTGGCCGGCCAGGTGCGCCTGTGGGGTGGGAAGGCCAGAGGGGAGCCCAGACGAGTCAGCACGAGTCCCAGCACGACTTGCAAGGCACACAGGAGTCGGTAGAGTCAGCACTAGATGAGCGAACACGCTGGCACCATCTATTGGGTATCTGTACATTTTCCTATTTCCTTGCGCAATTCTCGTTATTGGCTCGAAAAACTCTCAACAATTTTATCAACAACGACCTTTCCTCGTAAATAGTAGGCACATTTTACCTCTCAAATAATGCTGCAAAACCCTAGCTTCAGTGAAATGCAGTTCCAGGTCCACCTCGTAGACGGTGCCAGGGTGCTCGTACATTCTCTCGTCATAAACAGACACAACTGCACAAACCAGCCTAGAGATGTATCTTTGGCCGGCACGCTTAGCGTCCTATTCCCCCCGTGCACCGAAAGCGGCTCAAAGTGGCAACGAAACACATCACGGGAGCAGGCGTGTTGTGTCGTCGGGATCCTGCGGGTTGTAGGGAGACATTCCAGCAAAAAATGCGAGCGACAACAAGTAATTGCGTCGTCAGAACATTCGGATGGTAGGAGGTTCAATTGCTTGCCGGGGTCTTTAACGTGCATCATGCAGCGGCGATATGCAACCGCACGCCGGTACGACGCCGGTATGACGCCGGGTCGAAACGGACGGGGATGGGATTCGAACCAGGAAACCCCGGGTTCTGCGGCGCGAGCTTTCGCTCCACACATTGAACGCGAGTGTCGCTGTTGTTGCGGTGCCCTCACATGTGGCTGCCGAAGCTTTCGCAGACCGTTAAACTTGAGGGCAACTTGCGCTGGAACAAGCATCTGTTGCATGCACTTCCATCCGCCGTTGCGTCGCCACCAGGTTTGTGGTGGCCAACGGCGCAACACGAGCGCGACGAGGATGCGGCGAGCACACCATGCGGAGACGCGCCCCAGACCGTAAGATAACCACCACATTTCTGATAATATAGATTGGCTCCTGTATAGAAGATTCGGGGAGGAGAAGAATGAGAGTATTCAATCAGTCTGCCCCATTGTTTGTGGCGGAAGGAAAAGGAATCGGGACGAACGTTCATTTGTCGTCACGCCCAGTGACCCAGCCGAAGCTCGCTCGTCGACAACGCTGGTTATGCCATCGTCTGAACTATTGGAACAGTGCACCATGCGTCTCAGTGTCATGGTGCTCGCGTTGCAGCGCTTGCATCGAGCTTCACCACAATGTGTGCAGCGGCATGCATTACACTGCAAAATTTCGCTTACGGCATTAGGTCAACCTACTTTGGCTGTGACTATAGTACTGAACCATGGTTAAAAGCGCTAAAAAAAAGGCGTACACGAGATAGAAGACAAACACGGGCGCTTCTATCTTGTGTACGTCTTTTTTTAGTGCTTTTAACAATGGTTCAATACAGTCAACACCAACTAACCCAACAAGTTCTTTTACTGTGACTATAGATAAACCACTAACTTATAAAAAAAAAAAAAAAAAAAAAGCAGAAAAAAAAAAAATTGCTTTATGTTTGAATAAATATGATACAGTAAAACCTCGTTATAACAAAATGGGATATAACAAACTATTGGATATAACAAAGCAATCATAATTCCCCTTGCTTGCTAATAGTGGGAAGAAATGGACATTGGCTATAACAAACTAATGGTTATAACAAAATAATTACGACCACTCCTTCAAGTTCGTTATAACGAGGTTTTACTGTAATTCACGATACTCCAGTTACCCTAAATAGTTTCAGTTACACTAAGAAAATACTGGCGTCGGAATTAATATTCTGGTATATGTGAAAGTTTCTCGAAACAAATGTGCCGTGTGAAAGTGACCGCAAAAGATGCGCATCTCCAAAAAAGGTTGCGCGCACTCCTCGCTTTTGGAGAGAGATTTTGTCAAATGGGGGTCCGCAGACCCCAAAAAGTCAGCGGACCCTCATTTGAGAACCACTGTTTTAGTAATATAAAAATTTCCGAAATACTTCGAGATCATTTGCCTATCCTTCGACATTCGCAGTTTTTTCCCCTATTCGGCAAGACTAGTAAACTGAGCGAGTTGAATCCAACCACGTTTATCGAGTGGTATTAATAAAGTAGACGGTCCCTTCACACTGTGCATACTTTATATCATTTTAATGCGAAATGCCTAATATTCCCGGTGCAAACGACAAGATTTGGCAAAATTTTCGCAATTCAATACCTCAAAATTTTGCGCATCAAACTCGTCGCATGAACAAGCTGATTGCACGAAATATTGGTTTCGCTAAACCATTGAGCATTGAAAAAGATGCACATGGGAATAAACCTTTACAGTTGAGTTTCAGGTTTGTGTAAATAATTCATGTTAGCAATACACAGTGCCTGCTTGTGTATATGGCCACATTGCGATTCTCAATGGTCCTATCAGCTAGACTTTCTAAGGTTTTCGTGATTAGCAAAAATTGTCTGTCGCCCACTGAGTGGGCGAGGTGGCTGTGCCATTGGCCTGCTGTACGGTGTGTATCTTTAGGGAATCCACAACACTGGCCGACAGCTTACGTATCTGTGCGTGGCAGTGTCTGTGTGGGAAAGCCCGTGTCGACGGGCGTCAGGCCTCTGGGAAGTTAGCCTGTCTCGCGGACAGCAGAAATTTGGATCGCTGACGTGAGAAAAGGATGGCGGGCAACTTGTTGGTGCGGATATGTCAAGGACCTTGTGGCGGCTGAAGTTTGTTGATCTGTTCGTGATACACGGTGGCCAAAAGCTGTTTAGCCCCCAGGGGGATGCAACTATTCCAGATACAGAATAAACCTACAGTGTCCAGCAAGACATTGCACTATAACCTCAACATCCCCTGTATCAAAGCCTTCCGAGTGAAACCTGCTCACAGACTCTACACTTCACGAATACCCAAAGTGTGGTAGTGGCAAGGCCAATCTATCCTTCAGCAAAATCCACTTCTTACTTTCCTTCATGCAGACACTTTAATTAAAAATTAAAACAAAAATGCTATAAAAGAAAGTGGGCATATATTAATATGAAGCTCGCGTGAAGCATAGAGGTGTTCATAGCATGCGATTTCTTTGGCAGCCTTTCACTGTAACAGAACCTTAATATCCATGCAGATTGAGTTGTTTGTACCTTTCTGTAGCATAGAGCACCGTCTGTCACAACCGCCAAGGAACAACTTCATGTTTTATATCTTCACAATAAACAAACAAGGGACCCAGGGGAACCCACCGCGACCCACACACGACACCACAAACATGCTCCTAAAAACCAAAAAAAAAGGAATGTGTGCAAACAAAAAAGGGGAGGGCCAATGTGTTCATTTACCTTAATTTCTTGACTAAATGGCATGCTTGTTGCTCCCTATCCGGACCAACAGGAAAGGGGGGAAAGAAATCAGTCAACACAATCGGGTGTGTGCAACCCATAAGAGTGCACCCAACAGCAACTAAAAATAAAAAAAAGTAAGTGTGCACACCACCACAAACACAGTACAAACACAACACAAAGACAGAAATGAACACTGCCCCCCTTTCCCTCGAGGTAATTCCGGTGTTCTACTGTGATGAGGGAGACGCATAACCTTGAACACGTAGCTACCCCAACAGCGCTCAAACTTAAAAGGGATACTGTTATATAAACCAATAATTGTCCTAATCATCCAATTCCAGAAAGAAATGGGTGGTTAAAGCAAGCCGGCTCTCACGGAACGGTGGAGCCCAAGGCACCTGTGCAGGTTTTTTTTCTCTTCCACCTGGTGCTAGGTTGGGGTAGCTCATTTTGAAGGAAGTACATGCATGCATGTGGGTTCACACACACACTTCGTATGTTCAAAAACTAGACCCGATATTCAAACTACCTCAAGGAAACCTTGGATTAGGAGAACCTTGGGAAAACAAACTTTCAGACCACTTTTCTGAAACACCAGGCTTCGACACCAGCCAAAACCTTCAATGCCTCGTCAACTGAAACGCCGTTAGCAAACCTCTTGTAAGATTACGGTGCCAAGGGGGCAAAGCAGAAGGTGAAGCCACCCCCCCAGAAGTTACAGGAAAGACCAAAACCATCAAGAGAATGCCTGCAAAAGCTTAGTCCAGCGGAGGTGCAGCAGCATTATTTCAACTCGCTTCTAGCAATATACAGGGGGAAAAAAGGGGGGCAACATAATCAATGCACCAATTTTCAAACCAAAAACTTTTTTTTTCTCTTTCATTTCAACTTTAAAGCACGGTTAATCGAGAGAAGCAACTCTAGACTCCTACAGGGGTCATGAAATGATTTGTATCTGCCTGCCTATATGCAGTCTGTAAACATTGTTGCTTTGCAATCTACAAACTAAGTCATTACATAATCCAAAATTATACCTCACACCAAAAATGCTTTTTTTCATTCCTGGTTAGATTACACACTTAAAGAGAGACACTACCAAGAAGAAAAAAAAATTTCTGCAAAAAAGTTGGTTTTGAAAAATGCTGTATTTAGATCCACTAACAGTATTCAAGAAAGTTCCATTATTTTAGGCTGCATAGTTAATTTTTTATAAATTATTTTCGATCCACCCATGCTAAAGAAAAGGTAGGGGTCGGAGCACTTCGAACACATTTTTCTCTGTTCCACTTTTTGGCGGAATTTCACTTTAGGAAAACTATAATTTCAGTACGAAAATATCAAGACTTAATATCTGCGGCTTATATGCCAAAATATTATGGAGCCTGTTACTACAAGCTTAGATTTTGCATCTTCATGTTCCTTTATTATAAAAATTTGCAAAACTTGGTAAATGTTAAAAAAAAAAAAAGATTTTTTTTCATACATTTTTTTTGATAAGGAAAATGCATATTTTCTCAAACTTCTTTTCATAGTAACCGGCAACAGATATTCCAGTATGCATTCCACCAGAAAAATATGCAGTTATAAACTCAATTTCTCAACGACAGATTCATTGAGCAGATTCCAAGCAAGGCTATGCTTTACTTCGTCCTGGGAGTATAGTACTTTATAAAATTGGTTCAGAGGGCTGAAACTGTGCATGCCACCTGCAAATATCATGCTGATTGAGTGATCAGGTCAAGAGTTTGACATTCCCAGGTAGTGTACCCCTAAAAGTGGCACTCAAGCGGATTCTGAGATTGTCTATTTACCGTCATAACTCAGTCTATGAGCTCTAAGCATCCTAAAAAAACCCGAAATTGCATTCGAGGGCAGCCAATTTCCTTACTAAAAATCCAAACAAAGATCGTGCCACACCCCCAGGGTGCACCACCGGATGGGAAGGCAGCAGGGAAGGGCACGCGATAGCCAATCTTAGATGACGGCTTCCCAGTGGGCTAAATTTTCGAATATGTGCATCTTCAAAAAATCAGACCGCCGGGAAGCCGTCACTCGTGATTGGCTGTCGTGTACCCCCCCCCCCCCTACTGCCTTCCCATCCGATGGCACCCCCTAGTGTTCTGCGCCACGGCGGAGAAAGAGAGGCGTGGCATGATCTTTGATAAACTTTTAATAGGGAAATCGGCCACTCTTGAATGTGATTATGGGTTTTTTAGGATGCTTAGTGCCTGTAGATTGAGTTATGACAATAAAAAATGACCGCATCTCCACGTGGTGAATGATGTTGATTGGGGCGAAGCTCTGGTGCTGATGATATTGATTTTGTTCATAGGTAGTGCTGATGTCAGAAAGAGAATGTGTGGTATGAAACATGGTTAAATATGCATTTGAAATTTGACTGCAGCGCCCTCTCGTCTATAAACGTTGAGCCAATGCATGCAAAGTTTAATGCAATTATATACGCATTTGACCGCAGCGCCCTCTCCTGTATAGACGTTGAGCGGCTACATGCAACGTTTCATCCGTGACATCCCCAGCTCTTGAGTTACTACCACATCTCAGAGCCCCCTATTTGTCCCGCAGTCGTGGCCGAGTGGTTAAGGCGATGGACTAGAAATCCATTGGGGTCTCCCCGCACAGGTTCGAATCCTGTCGACTGCGCAAACATCTTTTTCTTTTTTGAAGAGGACAGAGGGGATGGCAATCGATGTGAGCACGGACGCCGGACAAGGCTAGACCCTAAGGAGCTTCGCCCCTGATAGACCATCCGAGAATCCACTTGAATGCCCCTTTAACCCATTCGCTACAAAGGCCGGCGAATCGCTGGGCGTGCAGTCAGGGGCCATATTGCCAAAGCCGGAGATTTGCTGGGCTGCATGAATTTGTGTTTTAAAGAGCCATTCACAGATGGCACGCTATGTAGACTTGACGTAGCGTTGTTAGATACATTGGCAACAGATGGCAAGGGTCGTTCTGTTTGCTGAGTTTGTTTGAGCTTGTTCTTTTGCGTGTCGACTTTCCCGCTCGATCGCTGCTTGCTTGAAGAAGATGGCAGCATCCAGTGTACCGTGTGGCCTTTCTGACGATGAAATTATAGATATCCTCTTTGGCAGTGATGATGACGGACCTCCAGCAAGGATAGAGAGTTTTCGGAGCCTTCTGTCTACGATCGGAGCGATTCCGACAGCAGTTCTGAGTCCAAATCACGACAAGAGCGCACTGGTTGTGCGACACCTAAGCAACCGAGAAGGGAGTGCTTCAAGATCTTTCATAGGAGGAAGAATCTTTGAGGGCCCCTTCTACCCTGTCCACCGTTGCCTGTTTCGTCCTTCTCCCATGGTGGGGAGGATCTTCTTCCTTGCAGAATCTCGAGTCTGGTCGTCGGCCTTTAAGTATGTAAATAAACATGTTTTCTTGTTTTCTGCACTGAGGTTTAAGTAAAAGCTTATGATACAAGCAAAACAGTCACGCCTAGTGTGGCCCTGTTTCAGGGGAAAAACATGCAGTACGGACGGCCTGGCAGCTCGCGATTCAAGCGGTAGCAAATGAGTTAAGATAAAGATCGGCGACACATTTTTTTTTTTTTTGAACATTTGCCCTAAAACACTGAAACTTCAGCCAATTTTAAAGTTTTGGCTCTTCTTTTCAAAACAATTATTAGTTTTAATGCATCTTTTATAGCTTTGTGTTCAGTCAGAAAAAACTACAAAGAAAGGTTTTTTGGCGTAAACACCTAAACACAGTAAATTTTTTTATAAGGAGCATGGTACAAGCTCGTTCTGCTCCCTGTGAAAAGGAGATTGCCAGTATCTAGCCAAAAGTCATGTACTCTTTTTTATTTAAAAAAGAAAAATAAAGAAGTCTTAAAGCCCTCTTTTTAGAAGCCCTTTAGAAGTATGTAAACTTTCCAAAAACATAATTAAAATAATGCAATTTCAAATACATATTGGCCCTCTACATATCCTCAAGATAATACTTTTTTTTTTATTATGATGGAAGATTCTATATTTGCATTTAACCACCTAAGTGCCACTTTCTTTTTTCCTAAAGAAACCTAAAAGTGCCATTTTTTTTTTATTTGGAAGTTTTATTCCTTTAGTATTACACATAAAATTTTAAAACATTATTACGCAAAAATCAGCGGAGGCGAAAAAAAAATTTGACAACTGAAACGAGTGCTGCCATCTATGATTCGCGCCGCAAGAATGCTCGGACAAGCCTAGCTCGTCCGTGGAATTGAGGGCTACCGGAAAAACCAATGGACGAGCCGAGCTCGTCCATGACATTTCTAGACAGAAAGTGGCCGACGAGCTCAGCTCGTCCAAGGCGCTTAAAGGGTTAATAAAAACTCAGTATTTGTGAAGTAAAAAAAAAAAATTTCCAAAAGCCGAATTCAAAGTTTTTGCCCCAGTGCCTTCCGAGATTGAGCCGTCCTGCAACTCGAGCTTCTCTCACCCCTCCGAACATTCCCAACCCGAAGTGTTGTGTTTGCCCACGTCCTGCAAACAAACAAAACCTCTCTCCTCCGTGTGTGCCGCCTAATGTTGTAAGCAGACGACCCTTCACTTTCGAGTTTGAAGTCTTTTTAGGGCCCTTTCAGTGATCTCATATTCTCTGAAAGGGTGCAAGGTCGCAGAGAATGCGCAGTAGACTTTTGTGACCGACGTAAGGAGCCACATCGCCTCAGTTCTGAGTGAAAGGCTGCCCCGACGGAGTCACAACACAAACTATGCTACACAGACACCAAACCCAGTTGTTTTGACTGTTTGAATATTTCCTTTTCGAAGTCTGAGAGGTCTTGGGCACCTCAGAAAGAGAACTTCTTCCAATCCCCTGCCCCACCGATCCTCCTCAGTGCTACATGTGCCTAGTGCCACAGTGCCGCCATGTTTTCTTAAGGAGGGGTAACAAGTCAGGGGGCGACATCACTCCAGACTCCGATTTCCAGTATATGAAAAAGGGCTGTAAAGCGTTTGCGATTGCGTTAAAAAAAACATGTTTTGCGAATGCTCTTATGAAATATTATAGAAATATCGCTTACAAAGCTTCTAAATTTCATAATTGATTACGTTACAAATAAGAAGTGAGGAGGTGAGAAGGGAGAGAGAAAAAGGCCCAAGATAAAAAAGCGCGAGAACAAGCGTGGGGAAATGTTTTTTCGCATTGTGGTATGTTTTGCATGTTTATGACTACAACTTGCATAGTTTCAGACAACAAAAAAAAAAAGATACAACCTTTGGGGTGTAACCATCAGACAAAATACACCTTTCCTAGCATATACCTTTTTTTACTACCAAACTGCCGAAAATACTACAAAATCTCTTCCAATATTTCTTGCCGTAATCATAAAACTGCAAGCCATGGCTCTAACAACGAAAGATTTCATACCGCCAGTCACGACTCATCAATGCTTACAAGTCATTTCAAGACCCCTACAGGTTTCTATCGAGCTTTGAGTTGCCAATGAATAACATGCTAGCAGTAAATATATTTTTTTTTAATTTAATATCAAAAGACCCCAAGGACCTATTACGTCCGCTCAGAGCGGCCAACATTCAGCATATCTCACCTGAATCATCCCGGCGGCTGAAAGGTTGTAGAAGTGCGCGGAATGGGACGAGGTCTTTTGGTAACTGATACGGGTAATCTTTGGAGAAAAGGAACACAGAAAATAAAAAAAAAAGAAACAAAGAGATGGGTCAGGAAAGGGGAGCAGATTTTCCCCCCTAAAAAAGAAAAAATAGAGGACGCTACGCAGAATAGAAAATTGGTGCATTGTGACGCCAGAGAAAGACAGGCAAGCGCTGCGACAAAAAGAGAAGACTTTGCCAGCAAGGCAAGCCCCAAGCACGATTAGAAGTGGTTAGTTTGCAGCCGCCGACCACAGAGAAGTGGCTTCGGATTTTAGACGGACACGAAAGAAGCACGGAGGCTCTGGGAAGAAAACGAGGACCTAAAGCGGACGAATCGAATGACACTCGTAAGAAAGAAAGACACTTCAGCCTCGTGGCGGAACCTACTCCGCCCGCAAGACAATGAAGCCGAGAGAGAGAAGCGGCTACCGGGTTCTGCCGTCTTCACACCAAAAACGTCTCGGAGCCAAGCACGAAAGTCGAACGGACAGCCACATTGTACTTTCCCGAGTGGGACAACAACAGATGCAGATGAAACGCGTAGGGGTAAAAGGGAGGGGAGGGCGGGGTGAAGATGTCAAACGGACACGGCAGGTGCACATGCTCGGCGGACTGGACATGAAGGAAGACAGGCAAGTGGTGCAGGTGGGACAACCGTGGGCACGGAACGGGCAGACGCAAGACGTGCAGTCACAAGAGTCGTCAGGTTCTAAAATTCACGTGCACACTTGACAGTTCACACGAGGCTTCAAAGGTGCGTAACGTAACCGAGACCGCTTAGAAAACTGAGACCTGTCTGTATCTCTTTCATCGACTGGCAATGCTACCGTGCAACAGTGGTCCAAAGAGATGGCAGGTACCACAGACGCGGCCACGTATCTTCTAGGCGGTCTTGGAGACGTGGCTGTGGCACTAGAAACATCTGTCCCAAACCTTGACCTGCCAGAAATGTGACGGAGAAGTTAGCTCTTTACCTTAACTACAGAGCGATCTAAGGAATAGTGCTGCCTGGGCATTACTTTTACGATGAGAAGATCGGTATTTCCCTACCTTACGCATAAAGCAAAGATAGTTTGTTGCAAGTAAGATAAGGTAAGCCAGCCAGAAGCTTTACTCAATTGTAGTAAGCTGCCTTGCCACTATTTTCCACCAATAAATTGCAAGTAGCTGTATTAGAAATGTTTGCTATCCTCCCACTGGCAAACAGGACACTTGCTCAAGGTTTTACAGTATCCCAGCTTCTAGCTGTGGCGGAGTCTAAAGTAAAGGAAAACAATGAAATCCTATTTACTTCATACAAGCTACAGAAAAAGAGAGCTTGCGACTGAACCATGACCCATGTAAGGCAAATTTCGGACTGCAGTCCTAACGAGAGCTTCGAGGTTCTTACCGCTCAATACGAAAGACGAGGGCCACTACCCACGGCAGCCGTCCCGAGAAAGACAACAACCAAAGAAACATAACTAAAGTGCTTACAGTAGGTGTCCTAGGCTGAGAGGCGGCCATGTTGGCTCGCTTGACCTGCTGCTGCAGGAGCTCGGCTGTTGTGGAACCTTGGGGTCCCGAGATGTCAGAGGGCTCCTCGGATGACTTGCGCTTGGCCGGTGCCGAATTGGTCATCTCCCCCAGGTTGCTGGGATCAATGCCGAACTGCTTCAGCAGGCTGTCTCCCGAGGCAGGCGTGGTGTCCATCGAAGCCGAACTGCTGCTTTCGGGCTGAACAGACCAAACAAAACCGTTAAAGAACTCGGTAATGGTCGGTTGGGAACAAATGATTGAAAGAGTTCAAGATCTGTTCAATCAATCACCGAAAATTTGTACGCTACAACAATATGGCAAATAACCAATCTTTTGTTATAGTCATTTACTGTAGAAATTATAATTAGTCAAAATCACTGGCCCTAAATCTCAAGGGACATCTAGCCTAATTAATCTAATAGTATTGTCCCAATTTTGCCTGCATTTATCTTGCGTAAGCATCACACCTTCACATTCACAAGATGCCTTGAAGACAAAACATTTTGCCGATTTCTACCTGGCGACCAGGGAATAACATGAGCACTAAATAGAAAGTTTTCAAGTAATGCCAATGTGGTTTACTGAAGTGCTCATAATGATTTGTGATGCTGGTATGAGTGTTTTGAGTAGCAGTTAAAGGGATGCTGAATTGATATTTAACTTTTCCTTAAAAAGGTCGTAGAAAACTTTGACTGGACCCTACAAAGCCAGAAACGTCATTCATACAACGGTATCTCAAACAAAAGGCTGCATTTCTTGAAAAGAATATCGCGATCGAGCTGGGCCCGCAGCCGGCCTTCGAGATGTGACATACGGGGGGGGGAGTAAGCTTTTCTCCTTGTCTTCAGGCCTTCTCTTTCGCATCCCACGCGCGAACCTGTGAGGACTGACATGCCACGAAGCTCGCAATTCAGCTTTTCACAGTTTTCGCCTTTAAATGTAGTTTTACTGCATTATTATTTGAAATACCATCATGTATGACATGTACATATGTTAGAGTTGCTACTAAGGGATAATCCCACCCCAATTTTCGGTTCAGTATCCGTTTAAAGAGAGCCTTAACTTGGGCAAGGAAAGTTGTTTCGAAATCCGAAGTGACTCCCAGACCAAAGGCCCTTCTCATGCTTTGTATGTGACCCATGTCAAAATTACACCTTAATGCGACCCTCTATTAATTAGCTAAGTGAGTTAAGTTCCCATCGAGAGAACCATTAGCTAATGAGTGCCCGAAATAAGGAGTTCACCTAAAAATGATTTTTGGCATGTAGTTTGTAAAGAGATTAAGCCACTAGATCATGCTACAACTGGGCTTGCCAGGTGTCCCAGCTGTGTCAAGGCTACAGCAACAGGGTATTCATCTCATTGCCAACTACTTTTGTGCCTTTACTTTTCTCTTTGTGAGAGTGTGATTGATGCTTTCTGCTATATTTCGTTTGTTATGTGCGAGTCGAGTGCCTCCACGCAACTGACAGGGTCAAGATAAACACTTAGTACTACAGAACCTTATCTCCTATGCTTCTTAAAGATTGACATGGGGCATTCCTTGAGCCAATGATGACAGTGCAACTTTTTTAGGCTGTTTGCTCTGTCAAGGTTAGAGGCAATGAAAGCTTTATGGTTAAAGAGTGAGCAGACACAGATCACACCAACATCAAGCAGATAAACAAAGGTGTCAAAGCCTGCTTCTTCCCGGGGCATGGCAGCCCATGCATGCCAGCAAACAATTTCGCCCAAGAATAGAAATGCGGTGTGTCCAAACCAAGTTAGTGCGAATGCTTCTAAAACATAGTGGCAAAATAAAAATAATTAGAACAACCATTGAATGTAGGCACAGGGTCCAATATCGTTACAGATAAACACATTCCATAAAAATGGCACAATATTTGTCAATATGAACTGAGAAAGTTTAGCTGCTAGTAAAATGTGTCACTTGCAAGTTTGTGAAACATGCATTACGAAAATGCTTCGAAGGACATACTTCCGGGCTATACAAATCAATAGCAATAATTGTATAAATTAAAAGTACATTTACATATGAAAATGAATTGTCTATAAAGGTCATCTATACAAACCAGTTTGCATCAGTATGTAGATAAATACCATACATATAATGAAAGTATAAAAAGGTAGACCAGTTAAGCATCTAGAAATAGAAACAAAATTCTGGAAAGAAAACTGAAGTGATGGACTAAATTCAAGTGTGCACAAAAAAAAAGAAAGAAAACATTCCAAAAGACTGATTCATGTCACAACACTTCAGACCTTCACATCACTGCATTTGCAAGTAGCAGAAACCATTAAAAACACAACGAAAGCAGCCCAGAGGGATTCCACAAACAATCCCTACTGAGGACCACAGACCTTATCAGCAGTTCGCAAAACACAACTGCATTAGACAGAAAGAAAAAAAAAATAGAAAATAAAGTGCAATGTTTAGAAGCACAATCAATCCTCACAAAATCTCAATAAAAAAACATTCATGCTATGTACCACCATCTGGTATGAACCTCAGGCGTTCGAAACTCTCTGCGCCACATTGAGAAAGGCAGCTTCAATGATGTCCGAAACGTGTATATAAACGTGCAAGGATGCCAATCCAGTATTGTGTCTGACGGCATTTCATGCAGAATTTAAACGAGTGTCACGGCGAATTCTCGGTGCCGCCTCCAAGGTCTGAACGGCGGCACAGATTGCATGTGTAGCTTGGCACGGCAGGCCAAACGGAAACAATCCGAAAGGGCAAAAGAAATGAGTGTCTAACAACGGTGCAGGCAAGAGTGCAAGGCAGGCGGGCTCCAGGGAGGGAGCGAGAGGGAGCCAGTCTCTGAGCGATTACCTTGTCAGGTGACTCAGCCTTGAGAAGTTGCTGAATGAGGAGGTCCTGAGACCTGCGGTAACTCTTGTCCCCACTGTCGTCGCTATTCAGCAACTGCGAGGTGTGGGGAGCGAAACGGCCCCTGCAGCCCTTCCCCTAGAAACCCCCGAGACCTCCTCTCCATTTAGCAAATGCAAGGAAGATTGAAAAAGCAAGTAATGACGCCGCGTGATAGTCGGATACACAAATAATGCTCGGCGAGTACCGTCCAATTGTCCTGTGGCTGCCTGTGGAATATCACCGGGAGAGCAAGCGAGCGCATGCCCAGAATGTCCTGCCGGTCATGGCACCATAGTTTGTTTTTATTTTCTGGGGATGTTTCCCTTTTGAGCTTAGGATTAGGGCTTCATAGTTTCCTTAATCGGTACAGTGGCAGATGGACCTGGTCATGTCTCCTCCATGATTTTGCATGTAACGGTTGCATACCTGCCAAGTTTGGAGAAACCAAACACGGGAGTCTCTAAGCGCGGGAAGTAGCGGTTTCTTAAAAAGAAATAGTGACAACAAATGTACACTAAGACAACTTCATTACATTTATATTGCACTGCTCATGCTAGCGAGGAACAGCTGGGCCTCACTATCAATGCAGCCATTTGTTGCGAGGACAAAAACTCCTTGTCGAAATGCGGTGGTGGGGGTTGAATTTTTTGGGCGACCAATTTGTACAACTGGTAGAAGCGAGCGAGTTGGACATAAATACTTAAAATCGAAAGAATAAAACACGGAGGAGAAGCACAGGACAACCACATTCTTTCATTTAGCAACAATGTTTATTTTGGGCAGGAAAATTGCACCTTAAACGAGATCTCAACTAAGATAGAGACATAAGGGGAAGGAAATACTGGGGGATAAAAAGAGGGAGGAAGAACCACAAGGCACGGACAGAACTACAGTGATGGTGTGGTTCTTTACGGGGAGTTGCAATATTTTTCAAGTTCAGGCCTGACAAATTCTATTTCCCATCTTGATAAGGTTACCGAGGCCGATGAAATATTGTTCTGCCCATGTATCCGTGGTTCTTTCTCTCCCTTTTCATTTCCCAGTATTTCCTTTACCCTTATTGCCCTATCTTGGTTGGGATCTCATTCAAGGTGCAATTTTCGTGCCCAAAATAAACGTTGTGGCTAAATGAAAGGACGTGGTTGTCCTGTGCTTGCCCTCCGTGTTTTATTCTTTCGATTTTAAGCAATTTGTACAACCGTATAAATTGGTCAAAATTCGGGAATCTCTTGGGCAATATGGAAGACTTGGCAGGTATGCGGTTGTAACGTGTTCGCAGCATAGATCTGCTCAAATAGCACAAACATGTGCACAGGGGCCAGCTTTGTCAGCCACCATTAACAAAAAATTGAGCAATGACCCCTGTGAAAGAAACCACAAGACATCTTGTGAAACCGCTTGCTCTCGTGGTATGTTCCTAAGGTAGCCCCGTGACAATGCACGTGTTTCAGCTGGTCATTACTCGTCTGATGTTAGCTTCAACGAGTATATGACTGATGAAGGATGTCTGACCAATGAGACCACAAAATACTGGGTCCCCAAAAAAGGTGCAGTTGCACCAATATAAATGCCCCTCCTGCTCCTCTTAGTGCTTCCGACATTTTTATTACGAGGTTTTCCAGACTAGCCAAAGTGAGCTGGACTCAAGGTGACTCACAGCTAAGCACTTCAATTCCAGCTGCCATCAGGTTGCGACTATCTTTTTTACAGCCTACTGAGAGATAAACCGGTAGCTCAAAACCAGAGATAATTGAAAGATAGCTTTCCACTCTATACAGTATGCATATCAGTACATTTCAAACCTCCAGCAAGTGTAGGATCAAAGCGCTAAAAAGACAACGGACAAGTTAAAGGAAGTGACCACCACAGAGCGTTTTGTGGTGTTTGTCGTCCTTCACCTTGTCCGTCGTTTTAGCGCGTTTACCGTATACAATGAGTCACCAACTAGCCGAAGCACATACCCTTCTACAGCTCCAGCAGGTCTCCACTAAAACATGTTCTGCTGATCAGCCTTCGCTACCACACCTTTCTCAAGGTGGAGGGGTTATAATTTGCTGGCCAACAATAAGCAAAAGACCAAGGGTCAATCAAAATGTGCCTGCAGGCTGCAGAGTGTGCTATGCCCTGCAGAGGGCATAGATGAAAGCTAATGTACCTAGCTCGGAGTGTAAGCTTTAGTGAAACTACAGGATCCGATACAGAAAATTAAACCTTGCTTTTTCGGCCCACATAAACAAAATTCGCATTGTAGGTGGCTGAAACTCTGTGCAAATATGACACTAGCAATGGTAATAGAATGCAGAGGTCTGAGAAAAGGACATGACCTGGATCAAAAGATAAAACAGAAAAACAAAATTTCTTTATGGGCCAATGTCCACCTAGATTTAATATTCGTCAAACTACAAAATGGCACTTTGGACAAACCTGCCAAACAATAAATACAATCTTGTTTTCTTTCTGGCTGACAAGTTGCTTTCACTGAAATCAATCCTGGAGGTGCCCAGAATGCCATTTCTTGGCTTGACGAATTTTTTGCCTAGGTGGACTCATAAAAGAGTTTTGTTTTCCTGTTTTATCTTTTGACACAGGTAACGTCCTGATCTCAAACTTTTGCATGATATTACCACCACTAATGCCAGATTCAAGTGGAAGTTTCAGCTCTTTGCGATGCGTAGCCCACTTATGCAGGTCAAGAAACTGGGTTTAACTTCCTTTGTCGGACCCCAAAGAATCACATATCAAAAAGCTTACAATGCATGTGCATAGGCAGAACTTATGATGAGGCAATTTCAAAAGTGCCAATGCACTCACGGAATACTTAGCTACAATAACCCACATTCTCTACCAGATCTCCTTTTCCCGTCAGAACTGCAATGGGCTAGTGTAACGGAACATGACATTACCACCTACAACCATACCTCGGCAAACCTCATTCATGAGGGCCCTCACTCACCCTCATCTTCACAGGTGAGGTGAGGGTGAGTGAGTTTCTGAAACAAGAAAATTCATGAGTGTGAGGGTGAGTGAGGGCCGTGGGGGCGGTGAGGGCTGTGAGGGCGGTGAGGGCCGTGAGGGGGGAGAAGGCCGTGAAGGCCGTGAGGGCAGTGAGGGCAGTGAGGGCGGCGAGGGCGGTGAGGGCTTAGGGCGGTGAGGGCTGTGAGGGCCATGAGGGCGGTGAGGGCCGTGAGTGGCGTGAGGGCCATGACTGTGTGAGTGGTGTGAGGGCGGTGAGTGCGTGAGGGGTGTGAGGGCCATGAGTGCGTGAGGGCAGTGAGTGGCATGAGAGGCGTGAGAGCCGTAAGGGCGGTGAGGGCGGTGAGGGCCATGAGGGCCGTGAGGGCTGTGAGGGCGGTGAGTGGCGTGAGGGCCATGAGTGCGTGAGTGGTGTGAGGGCGGTGAGTGTGTGAGGGGTGTGAGGGCCATGAGTGCGTGAGGGCAGTGAGTGGCATGAGAGGCGTGAGAGCCGTGAGCACCGTGAGGGTGGTGAGCGCATGAGGTGTGTGAAGGCCATGAGGGCGTGAGTGCGGTAGGTGCGTAAGGCCCCTTCAGATCGAGCATCTTTCTCAGCAATTTTGGTGTTAATGGCGGGTTGTTCTCTAGTTTTCCCTAGATCGGCACGAGTTGCTGAGATCGGGTCCGGCTCGAAATAAGCAAGCAACTCGGAGCAATTCGAATGCGTTTGAAGCGGCTGCATCCAATCAGGGACGCAAAATTTTCATGTGATACCTCGTGCCGGTGATGATGACACCGAAAGACTTTGTTCTGGTTTGAAATCGATAGTTTTTTTTGGAAATAAACTGTTTCAGAAAGGTGCATTAGTATTCTTAACGAGATTTAAATGCATAAAAACACGTTTATTATGCGTAATTGTGTCTAAATAGTGCAAGAAAAATAAAATTTTATGATGACGATGGCAAATTGCAGCAATTGGTTGCTGCGTGTGATCGCGGGCGGTCCGTGTTGCTGGTGTTGCGACATAAAGTTTCTGGGCGAATTTGCCCCATCTGAAGCTGGCCTGAGTGGCGTGAGGGCCATCAATGCATGAGGGGCGTGAGAGGTGTGAGGGCCGCAAGGGCGGTGAGTGGCGTGAGGGCGGTGAGTGGCGTGAGGGCGGTGAGTGGCGTGAGGGCGGTGAGTGGCATGAGGGCGGTGAGTGGCGTGAGGGCGGTGAGTGGCGTGAAGGCGGTGAGTGGCGTGAAGGCGGTGAGTGGCGTGAAGGCGGTGAGTGGCGTGAAGGCGGTGAGTGGCGTGAGGGCGGTGAGGGCCGTGAGGGCGGTGAGTGGCGTGAGGGCTATGAGTGTGTGAGGGCGGTGAGGGCGGTGAGGGCCGTGAGGGCGGTGAGGGCCGTGAGGGCGGTGAGTGGCGTGAGGGCTATGAGTGTGTGAGGGCCGTGAGGGCGGTGAGGGCGGTGAGGAGTGTGAGGGCGGTGAGGACCGTGAGGGCGGTGAGGACCGTGAGGGCGGTGAGTGGCGTGAGGGCCATGAGTGAGTGAGGGGCGTGAGGGCCGTGAGGTTCAGTGAGGGTGAGTGAAGGGCTGAAGGTGAGTGTGACTGTGAGGTTGAGCGAGGGGCTGAAGGTGAGTGTATCTGTGAGGGTGAGTGAGGGGCTTAGGTGAGTGTGGCTGTGAGGGTGAGGGTGAGTGAGGGCGACCTAAAATGCCGACCTCTGCCTACAACATGTACAAGCTGCTATCACTTCTCAGACAAGAAATTACTAATGAGCATTTTTTCGGCAACATCTGAGGTCTGTTTCATGCTAAAAGCTAGTTTTTCAAAGACACCGTAAACAACAAAAAAAAAAGTGTGTAGCATAACTACACGTTGAATGACCATAAAATACTGCAAGCTGAAGCTAGCACAAATAGCTCAAAGTATCGCAAGCAAAGACAAGCTGACAAACTCTAGGTGACCGCACAAACCACAGATACAATGTCAGGCGCTGCCACACGTATGAACAAGATGCAAAACACAAAGCTGGCAAGATGTGTAAAGGAAACATCAGCAAAAGTGCTGTTCAAACAGAAATATTAAAATCCTTAATTGAAAACATGTGGCTTCGGAGGCCCACAAACATTCAGAAGGAAACGACTGACACTTCCGAGAGCCAAAACAAGGCATGCATTGCTAGAACACATGCACCGATGCTGACTAAACACACACAGAAGTACAAGATCAAAGTGTTCATATTTTGAATGAGACAAACACCTGTTTTTTTGTTTTTTTTTTACAACAGAAAGAAAAACAAAAAGAACATGCATAAATTTTGAAAAAAAAATTCATATGAAAACACATTGCAGGTGCAAGCTTCAACAAAAGGCACACTCACTGCCAGGGGATGCAATACAAAAAGCACACAAAACAACATGCGCCAAATGGCTTCGCACAAACACTGTTTCCATGCTCGTTAATGTGGACCAAAAACGTTTGTCAAAATGCTTAGCAAATATGACAACTTGCAAAACGGAAAAAAAAAAAAAAAGTAAGTAAATGCATGCAGACAATGGCATGCCAAGATTCGAGCAATTACACATTACATGGTCAAAACAAAAGCAGGCATGTAACAACTATTTGCAAGCAAAAGACCATGCTTGCAGTGCATCAAGCTGTACAAGTAGGTGGAGAAAAAAAAAATGGACATGCCTAGTTTTATGATTTCATAGGTAGTATATGTTGATTGCTGCCCATGATGTGAGTGTTGAAAACAAGGCAAAAATGTATTTACTTTATACGTTTTAGTTTTTTTTTTTTTTTTACTGTTATATAATTTTTTCTTGGTAATTCTATGACCTCCTAGGGTATATATATATCTTTTTTTCACTTTTTTTTTTCTTTTTGTTGCTTTGCTGTCTGCCTGCTGCTTGTGTTGTGAGTCTGGCCTGGTACTAGGGGCCTAGTCAGGCGACTTAATTGTCGGCTTTTTGTCCCAGCTCCACGGCAATCTTTGTATTATCAAAAAGTCCAAATAAACAAACCAAGGACCTAAAAGAAGCATTAAATCCTTTGTCACACTACTCAGGTTACAGACACAGCAACCCACAACAAACAAAGAGGAGTAAAGCAAGGTCTTGCTAGGTTAAAGAACTACATAGGTTGAAAAAATTAATGTCAGTGCTTTGCTATCAACGATACTTGCAAACCTTGATTGCATAGTATTACTAAGTAGATATTATGTCAAATAAAGCGTGAAGTTTCAACAAAAATTATGTCCAGCTTGTGCACAGTAATTTGCGTTTGATTGGCTTGAGGAGAACTGGAGAGGCAAAATGGTAAAAAGGCGCACTGTCGAGAAGATTTGCCTACCGCAATCCAACCTAGGGTTTCATCCTCAAACTCTTACATACTAACACACACACATCCCGCTACGGAACTCACTCAACAAATTGGCAAGGGTCAACATAAGAGAAATGCTAGACTAAAAAATGACTGCCAGAACCAAACCGAATTTCCACTCGGAAGCGCCAGAATAAGTAATCGGGGCATTCTATGCCATCCATGAAGATGGACAAAAAAAACGTTAAAGATACATCTGTTCTCGCTACCATTACCGCTAGCGCCTACATTACTAACACCAAATCGTGATTGCAGAGTTAAGTAACACGGTTGAGTGAATCCAAGAACGTGACATCTCTTGGGCATAACTTTGCTTGACAGCATTCAAAAGCAGAATGCACCCCAAAGTTCACAGCAAAGCTTCGCCACAGGTTTATTCCTGCGAGGCGCACCTCAAGTTTAAAAGGGCATACTACCCACTCACTGCCATAAGTGTGCATTTGCATTACTATTCTTTATTTTGGCTCGGGAAAACCACGGTGCTGCACAAAGGCTATTATTAGCTTGTATCATAAAAGCCTGCAAAGCCGCATCCAATGATAAGGCAATAGAGAGGGTGTGACGATTAAAATAGAGCTTGTGGGCAAGGGTCCATTGCTGTAGCTCACGCTAAACCTAGTTTCACCAAAAGACCGCATACAAACGTCTCCTATTATGGAGGTGCTAGTGCAATGTGAGCACCAAAGCCCCCAATGTTAATGAACCAATCTTGGACAAGTCCCCCTCACAACACTAGAAAGGGGGTGCACCCCCGTGCGACTCCTCCTCAAAACCTGCAAACAAGGCTGAGGAGGAGAAAGAGAATGAAAAGCGCAGACTCACCCTTCGAAGCATGTTGTTGCCGCCACTGGAGCCGGCCCCGGCCGCCGTCATGGCGTCTCCCGACTTGCGTCCGCCCTCCCCCACCTCCATCGCGTCTTCGTCTTCCTGATTGAGCAGTTCCCGCAGTATGACGTTCTCCGCACGTGACCCCTCCCCGTCCCGACTACTCGAGGGGGCGTCACCCCCGCCCAGCCCCATCCCCGCCCCTTCCTCGAGCCCCTGAGTCAGCAAGTTGCGGAGCTTCTGCGCCGACCCGCCACCCCCACTGTCCTCGCCGTACACGTACGAAGGTGGCGCGCCGGCGGGACTCTCTCCGCGTCGAGCAGGAGACACTGAGTAGTCGTCGCCGCTGCTGTTGTTGTTGTTGTTGGCGCCGTGAGAACCACTGCCGCGCGAACCGCCGCGTGAACTGTTGCCGCCGCGCGAACTGTTGTTGTCGGGCGTGTCGCCGCCGCACATTGTCTCGCCACACACAGTCTCGCCCGTAGGCGTCGTTTCGCCCGCACCACTGTCGTCGCCCCAGCTGGATGAAGGGAACATCTCCATGCCGAGCTCGTGGAGCTGAAAGTCCTGCCCCCCTGAGGGGCTCAGGTGAAACGTGGAGAAGGACGGAGGGGCCTGCACCGTCGACGCAGCGCCGTTGAGGCCCTGCGACGAAGAGGTCGACGTCGACGAGCCGTTGATGGGCGCCGGGAGCGCTGGCAGGGACCGGGCGCCGCCACTGTCGTCCACAGGCGCTTCGTTATCCCTGGTAGAAACGGGCGAGTCGAGGTATAGCAACAAGCGGAGAGAATTTTGTTTGGACGGTTAGCGTGGGCCACAGGCCCGTTCGCACAGTACCAATTGACTAAACAAGACTATGTCGCGTCAAGATACGACTGCAAGGTACCACAACAGTTCTCTTTACGCCACGTGTTGAGCCGCTCCTTGCATTTGACGTCGTACAGTAATGTGAACCACAAATGTCCCATCCCTGTCCTTGCAATGTGGTCATACACAACTGTGTCTTTAGCTTAACTTCCAAGGGGACGAGTGATCAAAACTTGGCTCCACTATACTTGCTGATGGACAACAAACAAAACCAAATCCTTCTCAAGTGACCCATCTGCCGCACAGGTTTAGTGCAGCCAACAAGGCCGAGTGGCCTTGAATGAAAGACTAAATGTCAATATTAAAAACAACAGTGCTATGTTTATGCAGAGCTGAAAAGAACAACTTCCATAGACACTTATACTCCATAACCTCTTCATTCCTTCGAGCATGTCCACCAATAATTGGGTTTTGGGTTGAAGGTTTCTCCATTAATTAAAGCAAACTAAGAGTCATACTGAAACATATAGACAAACACAGTTAAGGTAGTCAACAAGTTCGTTCTGGTTTTACGAAAACAGGCCGAGGTACAGACGGCTATAGTAAGCAAGGAGCAGGCCTGAGAGTTGTGTCTCGACTCCTGCCCGTTTAGTTATCTTACTAGTACCCAGTTTCTACTGGAAATACCCATACTCCACAACAAATGATAGTCCCAACAGAGGCTACGTATCAACAACCACAGATAACTGAAAACCACCGGCGGTATGATGCAGGACAACCAACTGCTCACATACAAACTGCCAACAATCATTATGGAAAGATGAAGGTGGAACTTTGATCCAAACCTGATGATGGAATGAGTGGCCATGATGAACTCCGGCTCGTTCGTCACTTGGTTGTAGTTGAAGCGCTTGCTCTTCGTCTGGACCAGGAGAGACTTGTCCTGCGTGACCTTCAGGCGGTAGATGGCGCTCGTGTGCAGGCCGTGGTGCAGGGCTGGGGAGGAACACACTTCTGGTCATCAAATGGCTCCACAGGTCATCGTCACAATGCGACAGACTCACTCTCTTTGAGGTGCTGATCCAATTTCTGGAGCTCCCTCGAGTCGCAAAGCTCCTGGATGACGCGTCCCACGAGGGACTTGTTGAGGTACTGACTGTACGTAGACGATACCCCACTGCAACGAAAGCCGTCAAATGACGTCAGCGACGTGCTTTTTTTGGGCACTTCATCTCACTAGTTACGCTGCAGCTACGGTGAGGGAGGGAGCGATCAATGGCAGAGTGTGTTGATTCGCTGCACCTTAGAGCATGGGGAGTGAAAAATTGCACTGCAGAACCCAGGGATCCTGGGCTCAATCCCCGTTTGTTTCGATCCGGACGAACATTGCTCCGGCGCACGGTTGTGTACCACTACCGCGTGGTGCATGTTAAAGGTTCCATGCTAGCAGTGGTAAAGTGCGCTGGCTAAATTTCTCGTCTTGAGCAGAGACACAAGACGCACAGTGGTGCTGACCAACTTCCCGCATAGAATGCAACTGTTTTTTGCAACTGTGGTGCCAGGAGAGATCCAAGGTAGAATCCAAAACTACTAGTTTCGTCTGCTGAAGTAGCAATTAGTGTGTGGGTTAGTTGGTGGAGTTCCAATACGGTGAACCCGGGACTGCAGCACAAAAGTGGGGAGACCGCAATAACGGCCATGTTTCGTGTGGAAATTGAACGACTCTCATTTTTGTTTTTGGATCACCAGGGGTGGTCCAGCCAGTCGAGTTTGGAGTGAAATTTGGAGCATAAATCATTTTGTTTTAAAGCACCTTTTTTTTTTTTTTTTTTAAATAATTGCGTTTTGGAGCGGCTTTGGAGCAGCCCATGCGCAAGTTTGGAGAAATTCGGTGCAGGAGTATATTGGTGATGCCGACACGCATTCATGTAATCAGCGGCGTCATGCCCACAAAGAACCCAAAGTTAGCAGTTATACTGTACTAGTCAAATTGCCCTTCCACTGCTGTGAAGCCGTGTCATAATCTTAGTCAAATTCGTGTTTTGTTTCCATTGGTGCTAGTGGAAAAATGTAGATTTGATGTAAGCATGCTATCACCGTAGTCGATATAGAGTACCAATTTAACCCTCTCAGGGTAACAAAGAGAGGTAAATTGGAACTATACAAAGACCTCTCGGGTGACAAGAAAATCAGCATTGTACGAACCCTGTAACTCCAAAAGACATGCTTTGTCACACACATTTTATTTACAATGACACTTCCTGACTATCTCTAATTGTGGAAACATTCAACGAATGACTTGCTTTGCTTTTCCTCGGTTAAGATAGCGATCTACAGCAGGGTTGAAAGTTGGGCTAGTTGGTAGCAGTCGTTTTTTGCACACTTTGTATTTTATCGTGAACAGCAATCTGGTAACCCGAAAATTTAAGTTAGTAGACAAAAGCCTAATGAATTAAATCATTCTGGGTTCCCCAATGTACCGGCGTTTTAATGAATAGTATAATAAAGGATTCACATCATTTGACATGAGAAAAGGGAACAATTTGTAACCAAGCGGTCCCAACCGACCATGCCAATGAAAAGGGAACCATGTGCGAGCGAGTACATTTCTATAAAATAGTGTCACGCTTCTGAACATGGGCACCGACAAGGTAAAGGGGCTTAAAGCAATGAACTGGCAGCTGAAAGTGAACCCCACCCGGCCACCGCCATGTTGCACATTTTTGACCACTAGACATGTGACCTTACAGTTCTCAGTCTAGATTTTAACGAAGTACCGCAGACAGTTAATTGCTTTAATCTTACTAACAGTAGCGACGAGACAAGTTATGCTTCGCTTGTTTTAAGCCCAAAATGTGCTTTTACAACAAAAACTCAGGCGGCTTCACAATGGCTCCGCTAGATGCTGTCAGCGGCGGTGCTGTATTTTGGGTTTTTACGGAGCTAGACACTGATCTCTGGGGTTAACAGTATTGAAAAACAGTTTATCGTGCTTTTACAGCGATCACAATACAAATCTGGGCTGTTTTGCGTAAAAGCCTCAAGATTTGGTACGGTCATGTGTCTAGTGGTCAAAATTGTATGATATAGGATCAGCCCGGGGGGGGGGGTTCACTTCTGCCTGGTGAACAGGATACCAGTTTATCGCTCTAAGCCCCTCTACCTGGTTGATGGGCACTCGGGAAATAATATTTACCTGTGCATTTTCATCTTTAGTAGTGCACTTCAAAATCCAACTCAGACCATTAGAAATGTGCTGCACTACAGATACTGGTAAAATTGGTGGGGAACAATGCTGCGGAGCTGGAAGCCTGGATTGGATTGCAATGGCCAAACCCCACTAGAATCCCACAGTTGCCAGATGAAAACAAAAACTCTTCTAAAAACCAATTCGTTCGCATATTTGTTCGCTTTGGCGCAGCAAGGCAAAAACAAGCGGCAGAATATCAAAATAGGGCAAATGGCAGAACCGGACCACCCCTGGATGACATATTTAATAAACGTGAACCCCACATACTGAGGAATGTTTCCCCAGTCACGTAAAATGAGCCAATCGCTGAATTTTTCGAAAGAGGACCCCTCAAGACTTCCTGGTTTTGAAACTAGCTCTTCAAGATCCATCCCAAATGGGTGTAACACTACATTCAATTTACAAGTCAGACTTTTGCTGCTACTGAGCCTCAGCCTTATCTTTGAAATGCCACAGTACTAGCATAATGCATGAAAACCTTCCCATAATACTATCCTGCACGGCTATTTTCCTACGTACCTGGTATCGACAGCAAGAATCTTCCCACTGAGGTCAAGGCGTGTCGTGAACTGTTCCACACCTACAGAGGATGGGATCTTCTCATTCGCAGGGATGCGGCGGGCAACACAAACAAGGCAGTTTTGAACTTCTGCAGAGAAAAAAAAAAAGAAACAAGAAAAGGTAAGTAGAAAGGCGACTTCAAGATCAGACTCCATAGGCAAGCTCTGTACAAAGTTTGCAGTAAAAGCAGGAAGCCCTGTCACTGAAGCTTCACATTTAGTATATTCCTGTGCTCACTCCATGGATTATGAGCCCATCTGGACCTTGGCCTACGTTCTGGAAGCCTTCTTCCTCCAAAAACACCACGCAGGAAGCTACACACAACTGCACTTACCAATGTGATTTTCACATTAGTGAACATACAAACAATTCTTAATTTTTTTATCTTTTTTTTTTTTTGAAGATTTTTTTTAAACATATTGCTCTTCCTCAAATTTGCCATGCTCTTTGTGATCATCGTGCATGACTAAAAAACTGATTGGAAAATGTTTGCACAGACTAATAAATAAACTTTTTGCCAGAAATTTGTTTTCTGGATTCTTAAGCCTCGATGGGCCTAAGCTCAGTCATTTGGTTCATGTCCATGACAGAACCAGCCTGAACGTATAACCACGCACCCAAAAGGAAGGATCGGACACGTACGCTGGCGCCGCACAACAAAGACGTTGCGGCAACGGTGCAGCTGTTGAACCCTTTCTTTTTGTGTGCGCTTTTACATGTTCCTTACCTTGGTCTGCTTCATTTGTTTGCCGTCTGCTGTAAAATAGCGGGTCTGAACCTTGCAAAGCTGACAAAAGGGGCTCCGTGGAGCGAAACTGTTGCAAAAAAGCAACAACTCCGATTGGCGACACGTTTGCCTTGCACAAGGCACAGCAGCCATTGTTACGATGACAGGCTGACTGCTGCCAAGCGAAAATCGTCGCATTTTTTGTAGTATATTCGCCCCGTGGCATTCAGCAGTCGGGTTTGTGGTCACATCTGCGTGCCTGTATCGCAAGTGCACAGTCGGGAATAAAACTAAACTGAATAGACCTCTCACTAATTACTCAAGCACCAAAGAGAATGCTGGGAACGTAGGTATATCTGTGCACTGTCCGTGCTTGCCTTCTCTGTACGAAATATCTGAAGTAAATAAAAAAAAGAATGCATTGAGTAATGCACATGCTAAGCACCATTTATTTTAGATTTTTGCTTTTGAACAGTCACCGCTGCAGACGCCATATACGGAGGAACTTGCGTAAATATGCTCTCGGACTTTTGCCTCCAAAAGCGTAGCCTGCAACTTGCAAGACGGAGTCGGTTAAGAGGAAAGACCAACAGAGGCAATAAAGACTGACCGGACTCGGAGTCTGTGCCTTCGCTCTTGTCGCCAGGATAGGGCAGAAAGATGGCGGAGATGTGCATGTTCTCGTACTGAGAGATGCGCGTCTGCTTCTCTTCCACGGTCTCCTCCGCGGCATCGGGAGGCTTGACGAGAAAACGGCAGTGGAACGAACGACTCTTGCTGTTGGGGCCCCCGGGGAGGGCGAGAGCGGGCGGGGCGAGGTCAGAGGTCCAGCCAAAACCATTCCCTGCAGAGCACGCGGGAGACACGACGGGCATTTGGCATCAAGAGTGCGTCACAGTCGGCACAAACAAGCAATCCCCGCATTCTCCCGCCTTTCACTCCCAGCTGAAGCTACCAATCTCGTGTAATCCGTGGCACCAACTTGAATCGTGACATATGGGCAGTTTCAAAACTTAGCGAGCAAGCAAGATGCCTTGCTCAGCGAGGCTGTTGGACCGTAAGGGGTTGGGCGAACAATGTGCCTCTCGAAAAAGCAAGGCGGCGGTAAGATCACAACTTGGCCACTCTTCAACCGTAGGCGGCTCACCTATGGACATGGGCAGCAGGTTGCTGCTGAAGCGACCATGGTCTCCGTGGTGAATGATGTTGTAGATGCTCTTCCCGTCAAGGTCGTCTTGCGTGTACTTGATGAAGGAAGTGATGTTCTCGGACACAAACTCTATCTTCCCGTCCGTGTTCACTACAAACAAAAATCCGTCGAGTGCCTGCGGACGAGGAGGAGAACAAAACGAAAAAAACATCAGAGACGTGTTGATGACTCCTGTTCAAAAGCGTAGGTTGGTGCAGGGGGAGAAACGTGGCCTCTTAACAACCCACGAATTGGGAACTAGCGTCGTAGTAATCACAAAGCATGGCAGATGAGGCTCGAAGCGTCTGCATACGGCCAAGCAATAGTGAATAAAAGTTGCATTACGACCAGGTCACAAGCGAAAGCTCTTCAGGTAAGAAGGCTGCACCCTGCATCCTGTCTGAAGGAGTGGCACTTATACTCCATCCACTCCAATCCTTACCGCAGTCAACACATTTCATTGGAGCCAATCAAGCAGTGCCACAAGTGCATTGTCACGGCGCTCGTTGTCTGACTAAACCAATTGTGCACAGCACAGCAGCCGTGATTTCTAACATCCTTTTGTGCGCGATTAGTTTGGCCGACAACGGCAAATGTGCAAAAACGACAAGCGCCTCGACGATGCACTTTTAGCACTGCTTGATTGGCTCCATTTGATTGTAGTCCCGGCTGCGGTACGACCTAAAGTGAAAGACAGCCAAGTTCTCTCCTTTTGTACATTTTCTCAGCCTTCTCCAGGAAAGTGTGGAAAGCAGCGGTCCACACTTACAGCGTGCGGGTGACATAATGCGGTCTCGGTAGACAGCTTTGTCCTTCTGGCCAAAGAGTTTGAGCTCGCACTGTGGCAGAATTGTTATGCCAAAATATTGCGCAGTAGAAAAAGAAAAACAAAAAAACAAAAAAAACACTGCAACTGAAAGTACAAATGTTACTAAACTTGGACATTAAAAGGAGGCACGGATGACGAAGAAAATCGGTACTCACCTCGAGCAGTAGCGGTCCCAACACGTCACTGCCCAAAATGGTAGGTTTACTGGACGAAACTTCACTCTGCTGCAAGTCGTCACTCTGTCCACTCTCTGCTAAAGGTGATCCAATGAGGAAACAAAAATGGGAGGAAGGTGGGACGGCGTAAGTGTCTCGCTCGTCACCAAGTTTCACTAAAACGCGCCAACACAATGGCTGAAAGATTAGATACCACACCACTGCAGGGCAAGGTTAAAATCTGCACAATCTTTGGAAGGCGCGTCAGTTGCATCAAAAGTGCTTGTATGATGCAGACACCTTCAAAGGCCATGCAAGCAGGCTGATCAACAGTTTCGCTGCATTTTTCCAGAGTTTGCTTCAATTGCGACCAAATTTATCCAGAGTGGTGTTTCTCTTCCACATCACAAGAGGTAGTGTATGACCGAAGGAACTACTTCGGAGGACTAACCATAAACTTTGTTATTTCCTACGCCAATGTCAAAAGGGATGAGCAGGGATGAAACAGTTAAAAGCTCTTGAACACTCATGGCCTTAAGCCAGTAGCAACCAACTTAAGAATGCATTCTTGCACCAATGGTAACAGAGCCCATGCGAGACCGGCTCCTACCGGCGTTATGGTGGGTTCGTAAGGCAGACATACCGGTACCATAGAGCCAATACTAGTGCAGCCCATGCAATACTGTTTCCTACCAACATCAAAACGAGTCTGTGAGGGAGGCAGGCAGATGATACCTTGTTGCTTGATTCGGCGAATCTGATTGACCGTCTCCTGCAGTATGGCACACTTGTCTGGTTTGACGGACAGGGAATTCATGTCAGAAATGCTAGCAGATATCAGTTCTGCTAGTTCCTCCAAGTAGATGTTCTCTTGTTCTCGTCGGTGTTTTTCATTAAGGCACTTTTTCCTGAAAGCAGCACAGAAAAAAGAAAAGAAAAAAAAAAAAAGACATCCAGGTTGGCAATGGCTTGGCAAGAAATAATACACACCTACATCCTACTGTCAGGTGAGCATACAAGCCACCTGGCAACTGTGGTTGTCAGGAAAAATGTGCAAGCCTCGTGGTCACAGACCTGCTACGAACACGTAGCTGCCCAAAATTAGGACACCAACTTCACAGTCTAAAAAACATTAGAAAATGTGTTTGCAAACTTTACCTAGGCATAAAACCTGGAAAGTCAGAGGCATATTTATAGCCAGCATGCTGGTTTAAAAACACAAAACAAAAAAGCACTAGATGTACAGGGACACCTGCTCTATGTAAAGCTATCCTGTACTACCGGCTCTACAAATCCGACTTCACAGTGACAAGAAGCATAACATTATTAGTTACGATACATTATAATAGAAGTGCCCATAAGGCAAGAACCTTAAAACACCTGGAAAACATCTGAATTGACAGTGGAGAGTTGTCCCTAAGAGCAAACTTGAACACAACTCCTAAACAGCTATGGATACTGAGTGCAATGCTAAATTGCATGACATCCTAAGACAAGGTTAATTCTCGCTGCTGAAACAATGCTGAATTTAGAAAGTAGCTACAGGGTTAGACACGGAGTTGAAGAGCTAGCAGACATTAAACTCCCAAGATGCAAAAGCAAAGTCCCAGTTCACTTAAATTTACATACCTAGCTGAGCTATTTACAAGGAAGTTTCCCGCTCCAGGCTTAAGAGCCAGCCCTTTCAAAATAAAGTATTTTCATCATCATTGTTCTGTCTCAAAACTTTGATCACTGAGTATGGTACCATTAGCATTAATGGTAATAGTCAAAATCAATCTAGGACATCAGCACTGCAGTCAAAGCACTCTTATTTTAGCATTGGCATTACTGCTCTTCAGGTCTTAAACCACATTGGCTGCCTCTACCATTTCCATATCACATCATCAGCTACTTTGATGAAGTTTATACAAGTGACCTCTCGGGGCACAAAAGATGTCACAGCTTCGGTTTTGACCGGGTATTTTTGAAATGCAGATGCAAAACTTCCTCCACCCACCATACAGCAGATCCATTTTTCTATCAAAACCAAACAAGTAGTTGGTTCCCCATAAGATAAGAAAAATAAAACTGCTGAAGGATATTCTATTGTCCAGGTCCAGATATCTGTAAGTCAAACTATAAATACGCTAGTGGCAAGCTCCATAATCTTTTCTATGAATGCAAACAGTGATATGAACGAAGTTGCCTGGCTTTCATATGCATGTGTACTGCATTAAGCATCAAACCTGGAACATTTCCAGATATGGCACAGTTTGTATATAGCAAAAATGTTTACAACAGAGACAAGGAATGGTATAGTGTAGTATTGATACTACTACTATCAGTGGTGATGATCCATTAATGATACTGTTTGGTCTGCTTGACAGCACAGTATGAAGACTAAGCAAACCCTGCACTGTGCTTAAAAGAGAAACTGAGAACCTGATGAAATGAATTCCTAAAATGCCCATTCAAATGAAACAAGTTTTCATGTGTCCAAGGTTCTCCTTGGAAATTCTTGAGATCTGGACATCTGACAATTTGCAGGGAGGAAAGTGCCATTGCTCCAACTTTTTGTTGTTCTCTGCACTTTCTCTGCCACAGAGCAGTGATTCTGTTTGCAGGGATTATGCAGTTCTGTTAAGTAGTGCCACACAATTCTGCCAAACGCAACGATCTCGAGCATCAAACATTTTTAATATCAGCACCGTTTTGTTCCGCAGTGGGCAAAATATAGAGGTGGGTTGGACATAGTAAGGGTGTACAGTCAGCCAGGTTGGTGGGGAGGACCTTGCATGTGTCCCAAACTTATCATGATGTGCCTTAGACCAATAAAACCATAACACTAACTAGAGTTCAACTGTTGAAAAAGATTCAAGTTTTAGTGTTTGTTATTGAAAAAATTAGAGCCATAAGACAAGACTGACATTCTTACTAAAGCATCTGGCTTGTGCCTCTCACTTTTTTTTTTTTTAAGCAAGGCAAGCAGTGTGGCAATTAACTTCACACCTTTCTCGCATCGTAAAACAATGCATAGCTGCAACTTCACCCAAAAAGGAAATATGAATGGTGATATGGTAAGTAACCTGAGTCATAAGTATGGAAGGTATTTTTGAAAACTTCTAAGACAATGGCTCGCAGAACCACAATCAAATATGCAAGGGTGCTGCCAATGAAGACGCAACTTGCTAAATAAAAATTAATAAGACAATTACTTACAGCATTTCATTCAGGCAACACATAGGGCTGAAACCTGGCCATCTTACAATAGACCGATCTCACTAAGCGTTCCACGCATGCGTGACGCCGCCATAACTGTAGTTCATAGGATGCAGATGCCAGTTCACGAGACAGCTCATGCTGGCTCGTGCTCTGCTCGTGCAGACCTCCAGTGGGGTTGTCGCATGTGCAGAAAGACTACAGCTCCCACGATGCATGGCGGCAGCGGTGGCGTACTCGAACTAGCTGGTGAGATCGGTCTATTGTCACTCGCATTATCTTAAAACAAAAATTCAGCTTTTAAAGAGGGATAAGAAACTGATCACGCCGGACAGCTTGGCTACGCCGCCGCTGCCGTTACGCATCTAGGAAACATTGGTCTTTCTGCATGTGCGACAACCTCGCTGCTGCGCTATGCGCACAGAGCACGGAACGGACGGCACAAGCAGTCTGATGCACTGCCGCCTGCATCCTGTGGACTGAAGTTACGGCGACGTCACGCACGAGTCAAAGGCTTGACGAGATCACCCTATTTCTGTATGCCAGTAGTTCTCAACCATTGATGTTTCGTGGACCCGTTGTGGATCGGCGGGGATGATGGAGGACCCCGTTTGTGATGAGGAGAAGGGAAATATATAGTTACGATAATGATCTAATAAATAGATATAACTGAGGGCTAGTGTGATGTAGAATTCTCTTATTGACATGCAGACGAGAAAACTCAACCGAAAATTGTAACGTTTCTTCTTAATCTGAGAAAGTAAGCTTTATCGCCAGGCTTGACTGATGAGACAGGGCTTTGCGGACCCCTAGAATGCTTTCGCGGACCCCCATTTGAGAACCACTGCTGTACGCTATGAAAAAGCATTGAACAAACAGAAAAAGAAAAGGTTACTCACAACTGGGATTGGGGTTTGCTTTCGGGCTTCCTCCGCTTCTTGAGAACTACATTGGTGACCACGCTCATCTCAGTCCAACTATCAAAAGTTGGGTCACATTTGGGAAGCCTGCGTGGAAACACAAGGACACAAGACAGTCACAAATCAAGCTTAAAGCACCACCTTTCAGCAAAAGCACACTACAAAAAGACGGTGCCAGCACCAGTTGGGCTTACCACACCAAGCAAGTTGAATAGCAAAGTCACCTTCAGAGTCAAACATTCAAATTGGTACAAGAGAGAAAAGCTTTATTTATACCGACCATGTCCGGTCAGTGGGTTTGAGTGAGGTAATAACCATGTATATGTTCCACTAAAGGTAACTCAATAATCTGAGTTCTGTAGGCTCAGAGCACTCACAAGTTGTTTTGAGCATCTTAAATTAAGAGGTTCAGAAGCACTGCTAAGCTTGAATGGGAACATTTGTATAAACTTGCCTGGCTGGTCCCGTAACCATCAACTCAATTAAACACATGAGAGAATCCTGAAAAATGTTTCTCAGCTTTCCAATATTGGCACCCTGCCAAGGCTTCCAACACCACATGGCCTTGCTTGTGCATGAGCTCATGTTTAGAAGAGTGGATGGAGTTCGCGATACACAACAAACTTCTGCATCACACAAACACTATTATTTCACTTAAAGGATATCTTTATGCCTGTATGTACATCATACTAAAATCTAGAGTAATAAGCAATACGAAATGTGATGCAAACTGGTGTGTTCTTTCCTATTATGAACCCCCTAATAACAAAAAAAAATATTTGCTTTGTTTAAGGATAGGCATTGATGAGAACTCTTCTTGGCATCGAATCTAAGCTGATTAGCTGTAAGCCTCTCGAATCTGCAATATGTGAGTAGTGCTGTTTCTAATCATTTTCATTTGCACAAACAAGAGCTCCACAAAATATTATGGCCATAAAAAAAAAAAAAATTGTCTGGTGTATATAATAAATCTATATGCTTCAAGAATAGGATACTTCTAAAAACAAGTTATACTCTTTATTACTTTGTTATATATATATATATTGGGCCCCACAAAAGAGAAGCCAAAGAATAGCATAAACCTGCAGACATGAGTAAGAGAAACAAATGAAGAGCTGCTTCTCTTTTATTTATTTTTCTTAGTGGTGCCAAGTCCAGACATTTTAGCCAAACGCGAAAGAAAACATGATCTCTAGATCATTGAAAGGACTGCAGTGTGCCTGCTCAAATGAACATGGTTCTTGAAAAGAACAAGAATCTCCGGTTCATATCTGTAGAACGGCAACAGTGCACAACATCCCGATTTATTTCATCGGTGTTTCACGTTGAAATACGAGTAATGCAGGACACATTTTAGACGTCTTACCCGCGCTCCACACAGGTAACACGCCTAGCAAAAACCACTACGCTTCCAACGCACGTAGTGTTTTCCCAAACACAGTGTTACGTAACTTCCAGAACAATAATACCGAACGCGAGTCAAAAATAAAAGGACGATGTGTCACTTATGAACCAGAACGTCAAAAAAAAAAAAATATATATATATATATAGCACCGCCAGAAAGAAACACGGCAACCAGCAGTGATTACGTCAGCGGCCAATTTTACTTTCGTGTGCCCTGTTTTTGTTTACATATTAACTCGCACGTGTGACCCGTTACGTTTCAACGACCTTGAGTTGCGCAGGAATCCGCTACATTAATTTGCATATTGTTCGGCACACCGCACAGGCGCCCGGGAGCTCCCGGGTTTCGGTATGCAGATGGGGCCGCCGAGCGCCATCTTTATTTTCCCACAAAACAAGGAAAAGGAGCGGAGGGGGGCAACCTGAGGTTCAAGGTCGCGCTCGCGCTCGCTTAACAACGCCGGCTTCCTGGCCATTTTTAGCTTAAACCAAGCATCGAAGCACGATCGCGTTCTTTATCAAGCCACCATGCCGTCTAGAAATTATGACGACAATGAACGAAGCCTCGAAGGCTTCGTTCTCTCCAAAAGCGGGGAGAAAAAAAAAAAAAAAAAAAGGGTCAATTCTTGTAATCGGCACTGGATACCCTCCCGTAGATGCTGGCCTTCCAAGCCTATCAAGTTCTATATTTTCCGCTTTTACGGAATTGGAAGACGTTCCAAGGTCCGAAAACAAATCACGGGCGAAGCGGAGTTGCCGCGAAAGAAAAAAAAAAACGAGGAATTTTCGACGGGCGAAGCCAGTTTCCCCCCTCAGCGACGGGCAGGAGGGGGGAGGGGGTGGGGGGGAGACACTTGTCATCCCATGCCCTAGATCCAAGCGCCGTCGTCCTACGGGCCGTCAGCTGACGCCGCCACATGCGGGTCTCAATTAATCGCACTCACGGAGCTGACCGAAGCCGGGCATACAGCAGGACGACCCAAAGCGGCGGCGAAAAAGCGGCCGATACGAAACAAGATTAGGCTTAGACGACGTCCCGTATCACGCATGAACAAGCCCTCGCCTGCTCCGCTCAATGACATTCTGCTGCGCTCGCCCAAAACGCGAGCGACACCCACGACCTCCCATCAAACTGGCGACTAGGAAGACCGCGCAACATTCCGACACCGTCCACACCCGCTTTCAGCGACGACGACGGGCGCAAAACAGGGCCGAACGAAGGGGCTGCCGTACCAATTAGGCTTAAAAACATTCGCCGAGGTAGAGAGACCCCTCCGGAGCAGAGCCTTCGTGCACCGCACGGAACTAGGGCGCCCAGCAGCAACCGCTTTACATGTGCCGTACGCACGTAACAACCGCACAGGGCCGTACCTGAAGCCACGGGCCACCGACTCCGAGCCACGTCGCAACGACACCGCGTTCTGCCGAGATCGAGAAAGTCAAACACGGGGAGCGAGTCGCCCCGGAGAGCGAAAAGCAGGGTAACATGGCGCTGGCCCGTCGGCGCAAAGGGTCCCGTACGACCCGCACGCACAAGCACGGACCAACACGCGCGCGCACGAGGCGTCACGGCCGCTCGTCATTGTCGCGAACCGGACCCGGAGCTCTGCCACTAATTCGCGGAGTCGAAAGAAATGTTTAGGCACCGTACCTTGCGGGCGATCACCAGCGCCGGGCCTCCAGACCCCGTCCATTTTACGTAGTCACGGGCGACAATCAAGATGGCGGCACGTCCTGAACGGACCGCCCGATAAGCAGCGCGTTCAACTCTCGCGTCCTGGCGCGAGCAATCCATGATTGCGGAACAGCGCCGCCGCTGCCGTACGACGTTTCCGACGATTGTTGCGCTTCCGCTTTTGACTTTTCGCGCCAGATACTCGACGATCTCTGAAGTTGGGCAATGGCACGGCAGTCAACGATGTGCAATTAACTGCGATAACGGTCCTCAAACATTAGGAATATAAGGTAACGTAAAGTGCGTCCCGAGGTTCGTAAGTTTTGGTTTCGTTTTCGCGCGTTGTTGACCGTAACTCCGCAGAGCTGCCATATGCACAGAGTGTCCCCCCCCCCCCCCCCCCCCCTCCCCTCCCCCAAAAAATAAAAAATTTAAAAGTTGTTGTTGTTGTTGTTTTTTGCAAAAATAAACTATGCATTACCGAAAGCTCATTCTCGGCCCAAATGTAGCGTTTTTAGAGGTCCGAACTCTATTCCAAAGTTTCAGCATTAACCGTTATCTTATTCAAAAGCTAATTTTCTGAAATTTTCAATGGGAAAATGGGACCAATATTCGCCCGTTTTCGGCAACTATTACAAGAATTTCCATTGGTCGCCATTTTCTTATTGAAAATTTCACAAAATCACTGCTAACGTTTGAATAAGATAAACTTTTGAATAAGATAACGGTTAGTGCTGAAATTTTAGAATTTGATTCGGACCTCTAGAGCTACATTCGGGTCGAGAATGGACACTCAACGATTCGTAATTTATTTTTTGCAGTAAAAAAAGTGAACATATATATATATATATATATATATATATATTTTTTTTTTTTTTTTGGGGGGGGGGGGGGGGGGGGGGGGTTCATTTTGTATATTGTCACTGGAACATAGGACATTTATTGAAATTTCTGTAGAGATACGACAATAAAGTGTCCGCCCATTTCAGTGTTCTCATATTAAAATAATTAATATTTATGCATCGCGCCAAAAACATCGAAGCAATGCATAAAAAAAAAAAAATCAACAATGTGTTAGTAGGAGTTAATGATGTCTTCAGCCAGTTTCAATTAGAAAACATTCACAAGACGCAACAAATTCGATTACGCTTCCCGGTGACATTCCAGTTTCTCGAAACGTTCTTTTCTTGCGCCTTTGCACAAAAAAAGAAATAATGCAAAAAAATAATAAAGCGGAAACTGGATATTTTTTTATGCCATGTAACTCGCAAGCCATCTTATACAGCTAATGCACTAAAAAAATAGTTCGAGTAATGATCAGTTGGAAGCAAGCCACAGTGTAATAAAAGAGCGCATTGATTACAAAACACTAGTTTTTCTTTTTTGTACGTCTTCCTCAAACCTCACAAACCTCCTTTTTCGTAGATGGTTGAACATGTTGCTTTCTAATTTACGGTACGCGTAAAAAAAATAAAGCAGAAAAAAAAAACTGCGAGGCAGAAGTAAGGAAACATAACAAAGGGCAATGCAATGCTTGCAGATACTCCCTAGTAAAGTGCAGACGAGAGTACCCGCATCTGGCGTGTGGTGTGTATTGGTACAACCGCTGCTTTTCCGTACCTCCGTCGAGCGAGCACCAGGGATAAACCGGAAGTGACGACGCGCACGAGCACGTGACTTCCGGCTTCTCCTCAAGAGCAAACGGAGGCGTGGAGAGGAGGAGGGAAAGGCGCCAGTAAACGCCGCGGCGGTGGAAGTGACGTCAAGATGACGTAACTCTCTCTTTCAGAGCGCAACTGGAGCGAGCTTGGAAGATGGAGGAACGGCAAAATGGAAACAGGGTTAAAGAGACCCTGAAACGCGCGCGAACTTCTTTTTTGTTTTGTTTTCCACTTCGCGGCTTTCTCTCTTTCCTTCTTTCTTTTTTTTTTTTTTTTTTTTTTTACTTTTTTTTGTTATGACCGTTAGGAATTCCGGAATTGGAAGCCCCCTAAGAAACCTGGAAGA